GGGGGGCCCCGGGGGGCCCCCCGGAGCTCTGGGGGCCCCCGGGGGGCCCCTCGGGAGGGCCCCGGGGGGCCCCCCGGAGCACGGGGGGCCCCTCGGGGCCCGTGTTTGTGCCAGAAAGCAACAGACTGGATACGTGTGAGGAGGCTGCAGGTAGAGAGTCTTAAAGAAGCAAAGAGTCTTAAAGATGAAAAGAGGATTAAAAGAAGCAGAGAGTCATTAAGAAGCAGAGGGGGCTGTTGGCTCCGTGTAGGTTTAGCTAGTGTCTAGTTAGACCTGCTGCTGCTGCTGCTGCTGCTGCTGCTGCTGCTGCTGCTGCTGCTGGCCTGCGGGGCTTTTCTAGTTAGGGCCCCTGTGCATTGCTGAGGAGGCAATTGCCTTTGGAGACAGCCCCTGAAAAAATAAAAAAGATAAAAGACTTCGACATGGAAATGTCCAGCCAGAAAAAGCGGGACCTGAGCAGAGGATAGACACCCAGGAGGGGCCTTCGCAGCAGCAACAGCAGCAGCAGCAGCAGCAGCTGCTGCTGCTGCTGCTGATCTTTGCCACTATCTGAAGTAGACCCTACAGCCCTCGTGACTATAAAGGGACGCTTCGAATGTCGGGTCAGGTGCAGCATGCGCTGCAGCAGCTGCAGCATGCGCTGCAGCAGCTGCAGCATGCGCTGCAGCAGGTGCAGCATGCGCTGCAGTAGCTGCAGCATGCGCTGCAGCAGCTGCAGCATGCGCTGCAGCAGCTGCAGCAAGCGCTGCAGCGCGCAGCTGCAGCGCGCAGGTGCAAGCAGCAGCTGCAGCACTTTTGCTGCAGCCGCGTGCAGCTGCGGCAGCTGCAGTACTGCAGCACGGGCCGGCCCGCAGCACTTCAGCAGGGGCAGGCCTGCTGCAGCTGCGTGCTGCACTGCAACACCGGCCGCCCTGCTGCAGCTGTTGCTGCAGCAGCTGCTGCAGCTGTTGCTGCAGCAGCTGCTGCAGCTGCTGCAGCTGTTGCTGCAGCTGCTGCTGCAGCAGCTGCTGCAGCTGCTGCTGCAGCTGCGGACTCAGTCGTCGGTGAAGCCGGTGACCCAGCCGATGGGCACTCGCTGGGCCATGAAGTCCTCGAAGACCCACTCGGGGGGTTCTTCGAGGCCCTTGTGTTTGATGGGGAACTTCGGGAGGCCCTCTCCATCCCCTCTTTCTTGCAGCAACTTTCCCCTTTCGAGATCTTCTTTCAACTTCAGAGTTGCTTGGTATTCCTTTTCCCTTTCTATCCGCAAAGTCGGACTTCGCTGCACCAGCTCTTCCTCCAGCTCTTCTTCGTCCAGCAGCCGCTCCAGTTCTTCCCCGCTCGGCAGCGGGGGCCCCCCGGGGGGCCCCTCCAACTCGCCGGGGGCCCCTAACGGGGCCCCCTCCGCCGCTGCGGGGGCCCCCGGCGGCGGCGCCCAGGCGCCAGGGGCCCCCAATGCAGGGGCCCCTGGGGCCCCTGGGCCCCCTGGGGCCCCGGGGGCCCCTGGGGCCCCGGGGGCTCCTGGGGCCCCTGGGGCTCCAGGGGCCCCTGGGGCTCCAGGGGCCCCTGGGGCTCCTGGGGCCCCGGGGGCCCCTGCAGCTGCGGGGGCGGGCTGGCCTGGTGGGGGGCCCCTGGGGGCCCCGAAGAGCTCCCTGCGGGCCATGAGCTGCTCTTTGACGGGGCTGTACTGCCGCAAAATGTCATTTCTGAAAAAGGTCTTGTGGCGGTCAATAGTTCTTGCGAGAGAGTCCTTGTAAGGGTTCCAGGGCACTCCTATGTACCTGCAGCGCAGCAGCAGCAGCAGCAGCAGCAGCAGCAGCAGCAGCAGCAGCAGCAGCAGCGAAAACGCATGCATGCAACCCCGGGGCCCCACAGCCCGCAGCAGCAAACCCAGCCTGCTGCTGCATGCGCTGCAGTCTTTGGGGCTTTCCCCCTTCTAAGTGTCTCTCCTTTCCTCTTCAGAGACAGAAAAAGAAAAAAATAAGGACAAGAAAACAAGGACTCTGTGTTTGTCTCTTTTTATTTTTTTATTTATTATTTTTTTTTGTTTTCTGTCTCTGCCTCTGTCCCTGAGTCTACATCTTCTTCATGTCCATTTATTTCTCTTTCTTTCTCTGTCTCTTTCTCTGTGTTTGTTTCTTTTTGTCTCAGTCTTTTTCTTCTTTTTGTCTCAGTCTTTTTCTTCTCTTTTTGTCTCAGTCTTTTTTTTTCTGAGTTTTTTTTCTGAGTTTGCTTCCCCCACCTGTGTTTGTCTTTGTACATATCTGGGTCTTCGAATTCTTCTTCTGCGTTTCCATCTCTTGACTTTTTGCAGTTTTGCAAAAGAGCTTTTTGCACTGAGACAGCAAGTCCTTTAACTCTGTCGAGGGCCTCTAGAAAGGCCTCTCGAGGAGTTGCAGATCCGTCAGTGTGAATTTCTATTGTCACAACTTCTCCCAAACTCTCATACGGGAACGGGGGGGCCCCTCCCTCGGGGGGCCCCCCTTGGGGGGCCCCTGCCTCGGGGGGCCCCCCTTGGGGGGCCCCTGCCTCGGGGGGCCCCCCTTGGGGGCCCCCCTCTCGGGGGGCCCCCGTCCCCTCTGCAGGCCCAGGGGGCTCCGGGGCCCCAGGGGCCCCCCCCCCCTCTTCGGGCGCCGCGGGCGCCGCCTGCGGGGCCGCAGACGCCGCGGGGGCCCCCCCGGGGGGCCCCTGCTGGGGCTGGCGGGGGGCCCCCGGGGGCCCCCCGTCAGGGGGGGCCCCCACGAGGCCCCTGGGGGGCCCCCCGGGGGCCCCCCCGAGGGGAAGGCACTTGGCGAGGTCCCTGAAAACGGGGTCTTCTTCCCTGGCCCTGCCAAACCTTTGCTGCTGCGCCTCCGCGTAAGAAGCAGCAGAATAAAAAGCCAAAGACCGGGAATGGGCCCCCCGAGATGCAGCAGCAGAAAGGGTCTCGGGGACTCTGTGGGCCTCGAAGCCAAAGGCCTGGACTGGCGCGCAGTAACTGGCGAAGTAGAAGAAGCCGTCTTTGTCAATGTCTCTGTTGAGACTGTCGTAGCCAAACTCCGGCAACACAAACTCTTCTATTAGTTCTATTTTCACTTTCAAATTCAAAAAGTAATTTGCACTCATTGTGCACAAATACTGACTTTTGTTCACCACTTCCAAGTCCTCAGGCAACACCAAGTCCCCAGCAACAGCGGCAATGGGGCCCTTCACGGACAAAGAGGCCACCCAGGGGTTTTCAAACGACCCCAGGGGGGCCCCCCCAGGGGCCCCCCTCTCCCCGGGGGCCCCCCCGGGGGCCCCCCCGGGGGCCCCCCCCGGGGCCCCCCTCTCGCTGGGGGCCCCCCCCGGGGGCCCCCTCTCGCTGGGGGCCCCCGCCTCGCCGGGGGGGCCCCCGTCGGGGGCCCCCCCCTTGGTCTTTTTTTTCTTTTTTCTCCGAAAAATTATTTGTCGCAAGTTTTCCACCAAGTCCTCCACGTCTTCTCGCATGCCAATGACACACATGCCGACTTCGACGGGGAGGCGGGTCAAGAAGGCGGAGGGGCTGATGCCCTTGAGGCGCTGCTGCTGCTGCTGCTGCAGCTGCTGCTGCACCTGCTGCAGCTGCTGCTGCTGCTGCTGCTGCTGCTGCAGCAACGCCGCAGGCAGCTGGCTCGGCCCCGGGGGCTGCAGCGCAGGGGCCGCCACGTAAGAATCCAAGTTTTCGATTTTCAAGGCTGTCACCGCGGGTCTCGGAAGAGTGAAAGTTTCTCTTCTGCATGCATTTAAAAAAGGAACAAAAGGAGCTGAGTGCGGAGAATGAAAATAAAAAAAAGAACTTATGCCGCTGCGGTGGGCCACGGGCGGCGTTATTTGCTTCAGCCGGAAGCCGCTGCGCGCGGGGCCGTACACCTCCCCAGCAGCAGCAGCAGCAGCAGCAGCAGCAGCAGCAGCAGCAGCCAACCGCTCGCGCTCCTGCTGCTGCTGCTGCTGCTGCTGCGGGGGGCTGCTGCTCCTCCCCGGCGGAGGCAAAGGCGTCTCCTCGAAAGTCCCTGTTGCAGCGTCGTAGTGAACCTCGCTGCAGCTCACTTGCCCCTGTGTTTCCTCCTGCAGCAGCAGCAGCAGCAGCAGCAGCAGCAGCAGCAGCAGCAAAGGTAAACGCTATATAGTCCTAACCACTCGAGCTTTATGCTTAAATGAGATATAACAGCGAGAGGCCCTTCAGCAACGAAGACAAAAGAAAAAAAACAAAAGAGAAAACAGAAAAGAGGAAATAAAGGGAAAAAGAAAAAAGAGAAAAGAGAAAAAACAAAAGAGACAGAAAAGCAAAAGGGGACCAGAAAAATAAAAAGAGGCGAAGAAAAAAAGGAAGACAGAAAAAGAAAAAGCAAAAGGAGACAAAGAGACACAAAAAGCGATTCAGGAGAAAACACAAAAAAGAAAAACAAGAAAAAAGCAAAACAAAAAAAGCAAAAGAGAAAAAAGCAAAAGAAGACGAACGAAAAAAACAAAATCCGACAAAAGAGACAAAGGGAAGAGGGAAAAAGGACAAAAAAGAGAATAGAGAAAAACAAAAAAGAAAAAAGAAAAAAAGAAAAAAGAAAAAAGAAAAAAAACTAACAACATATTTTTCAAAGAAAGGCCCGTAAGTCCTGAAGTCGTAGTGAAGAGCCGCAGGGGCTTCGACGCGTTGGCTGTCTACAGAGAAGGCCCCTGAGGCAGCCGCAGCAAAACCCTAAACCCTAAACCCTAAACCCTAAACCCTAAACCCTAAACCCTAAACCCTAGGCTTGGAGCTTCGTGAGGCAGGCAAGGCTTCAAACCCTGGGTCTCCCGAAACCCCAGCCACAGACTTTAACCCCCAACTCTAGGTTTGACAACCCGCCCCAAACCCCAAACCCTAAACCCTAAACCCTAAACCCTAAACCCTAGGCCCTGCCCCAGGCAACACTCCCCGCCCCACAGCACTGCAGCAACGGCGTTGCTGCGCAGCAGCAGAGCGGCAGCAAAATGCGTCGAAAGAAAAGACAAAAAACCCAAAAAGATTAAAAAGAAAGAAAGAGAAACAAAGCAGCAGCAAAAGAAGACAAAACAGAATCCAAAAAAGACAAAAAAGAAGCAAAAAGGAAAAAAAGAACCAAAAGAAACAAAGTTAAGTCCAAAAGAACCCAAAAGAAGTCCAAAAGAACCCAAAAGAAGTCCAAAGAACCCCAAAAACCCAAAGAAACCCAAGCCCGGGGGCCCCCCCGGGGCCCCGGGGGCCCCGGGGGCCCCGGGGGCCCCGGGGGCCCCCCTGTTGCGTACATTTGGGGGCCCCCATTGCCTGCAGCTTTTGCTGCTGCTGCTGCCTGGCGGCCCTTTGCTGCGTCTCCGCCGCCTTCTGCGTCGCAGCCAATCTCTCCAGCCATCGCCTTTCCACGAACTTCTTCTCCAACTCCACTGCGGCCTCCACTGCCGCCTTCTCCTGCCCCAGCACGTTCCACAGGGGGCCCCCCTGCCCCAGGGCCCCCACGCCGGCCCCGGGGGGCCCCAGCCTCCCGGGGGGCCCCCCGGGGGGCCCCCCGGGGGGGCCCCCGGACTCTGGGGGGCCCCCGGGGGGGGCCCCCAGCGTCCCGGGGGGGCCCCCGGGGGGCCCCGGCGGGCCCTGGGGGAGCCCAGGGGGGGGCCCGGAAGCCCCCAGGGCCACTGGGGGGCCCCCAGAGGGGCCCCCGAGGGACCCCGTGGGACTTGGGGGGCCCCCCGGGGGGCCCCCCGGGGGGCCCCCTGGGGCCTCCGTGGGCAAATGCCCCAGGCCAAGGGGGGGCAAGTTCGAGGGGGGGTCTTCTAGAGAAGGATAAGGCCTTGTAAGGAGACTGTCTCCAGGAAGGTCGGCTTGGAAGAAGTGGTAGGGGCGGCTGCCCCGTGCTGCTGCTGCTGCTGCTGCTGCTTCTGCTGCTGCTGCTGCTGCTGCTGCGCGCTCCGCCGCCAACGCGTCCGCCTTTGCGGAAGCTGAGGCAGCGCGGGCAATGCTTACCGCTGCTTCTTCTTCCTCCTTTGCTGCAGCAGCAGCAGCTGCTGCTGCTGCTGCTGCTGCTGCTGCTGCTGCTTTTGCTTCCCCCTCGCTCGCTGCTGCTGCCGGACCCTCTGCTGCTGCTGCTGCTGCTGCTGTGGCAGAGGCTGCCAAAGGGAGGCCCTTTTTCTTCAAGTTGGGGCCCCACTGGGCCCCCTGGGGCCCCGCTGCTGCAGCAGCAAAGACTCTGGAGGGGCCCCGGGGCCCCCAAAGAGAGACAATAAAGGCCCCGCTGGGGGCCCCCCGGCTGCATGCAGCCAATGGGGCCCTTCGGGGGGCCCCATGGGGGCCCCCATGCCTTCGTTTTGCTGCTGCTGCATCCACCCTACCCACCCTTAGAGGTGGGGACCCCCTTCTCGTTAAGGGGATCGCGAGGGTTCTCAAACTGTGCTGCTGCTGCTGCTGCAGCTGCTGCTGCTGCTGCTGCTGCTGCTGCTGCTGAAGCAGCGGGAGGGGCCCCCAGTGAGAGCTGCTCACCTGCAGCACCGCAGCCTCTGCAGCAAGGGCCCAGAGGCAGCAGCAGGCAGCAGCAGCAAAAAGAAAAGCCACAAAAGAAGGGGCCCCTGGGGGCCCCCCGCGCTTCTGGGGCCCCCCAGCTGCTGCGGGGCCCCCCAGCTGCATGCAGGGAGGCCCCTGGGGGGCCCCCTCGAGTCTTTTTTGGGGCCCTTTGAGGGGCATTTTGGCCCCAGGCAGCGCGGGGGGCCCCCAGCGCCAAGAGGGGCCCCCCAGTACCCTTTTTTCTATGCAGGCTTTGGGCAAGAGGCGCAGGGGGGCCCCCAGGGGCCCCACAGAAGGAGGGGGCCCCCGGGGGCCCCCCGGAGGCTGGCGGTGGGGGGGGTTCGGGGGCCCTAGGCAGCAGCAGACACACAAGGCAACAGGCGGGTTGTGCTGCTGCTGCTGCTGCTGTTGCTGCTGCTGCTGCTGCTGCTGTTGTTGCTGGTGCTGTTGCTGCTGTTGCTGCAGCTGTTTCTGCTGCTGCTGCTGCTGCTGCTGGCGCTCTGGTGTCTTTGCTGCGGCTCGCGTCTACTGCTGCGTCTCTGCCATATTTTGCTGCATTTCTTTTCTTTTTTTTGCCAATTTTGTCTTTTTTGTTTCTTTACTTTTGTGTATTCTTTTTTTTTCTGTTTTCTCTCTAAGTCTTCTTTTATCTCTTTCTTTTTCCGAAGGAGCAGCAGCAAACGCCGCAGCAGCAGCTCAAGCCCAGCCAAGCCCTAAAAAAGGGTTTAGAAGTCCAGTATTTGGGCTGGTGGGGCCCCGGGGGCCCCCCAAACCCCACTAGGGTTTAAGGGGGCCCCCAAGGCCCCAGCCCCGGGGGCCCCCAGCGGCTCGGGGGCCCCCGGGTGGCTCCCCTGGGGCTGCTGCATGCGGTGCTGCAGAGTTTGCGGGAAGCAGCAATTTGGAAGCAGCAGCAGCAGCAAAAAATCCAATTTAGGGTTTTTATTTGTCCCGAGCAGCAGCTGCAGCAGCTGCAGCAGCTGCTGCTGTCGCCTCCAGTGCCCAGCAGCAGCTGCGCAAGCCTTGCAGGGGCCCCCTTGCGGCCACTGCCTGGGGCCCCCAGGGCACTTGGGGCCCCCTGATCAAACAGGGGCCCCCAACAGGGTCCTGGGGGCCTCCAGGGCACCGAGGGGCCCCCAAGAGACAGGGGCCCCCAGCAGAGAAGGGGCCCCCCTACCCTGCCTGCTGGGCTCGGGGGCCCCGGTGCCCTGCATGCCTGGGGGCCGCAGCAGAAAGCGCAGCAGCAGCAGCAGCAGCGGCAGCAGCAGCAGCAGCAGCAGCAGCAGCAGCGGCAGCAGCAGCAGCAGCAGCAGCAGCAGGTCCGAACTCTTTGCCCAGAAGCAAAATGAGGGTCTCGGGGGCCCCTGCTGCTGCTGGGGGCCCCCCTGGGCGAATTCGGAAGGGCCTCACCATAAGAAAGCCCCTTATAATGGGGACTTATGCTTTCAAGTTAACTCAAGCCGTAAACCCTAAACCCTAAACCCTAAACCCTAAACCCTAATTCGAGCTCTAAACCCTAGTTTTTGCCCGTGAGGCCGCCGCTAAACCCTCGTACTTCTCCTAAGATGCGGGGAATAAAACAAGCAGCGAAAACCCTAACCCTAAACCCTAACCCTAAACCCTAACCCTAAACCCTCGCTCTAAACCCTAGCCCTAAACCCTAGCTCGAAACCCTAATCCTAAACCCTCGCAGCAAGTCCTTAGCCTTTCCTTTCAGTCCCTGAGGCGCTCTTCTGCTGCCGCATGTTCGTCTGCTTGCTGCTGCTGCTGCCTTGAACGCTGCTGCTGCTGCTGATCATGCTGCTGCTGCTGCTGCTGCTGCTGCTTCTGCTGCTGCTGCTGCTGCTGCTTCTGCTGCTGCTGCTGCTTCTGCTGCTGCTGCTGCTGCTGCTGCTGCTTCTGCTGCTGCTGCTGCTGCTGCTGCTGCTGCTCTCAGGAAAAAAGGAGACACAACGACATGACCCACAAGTGGACTTGTCTCTTGAGGTCTCCAGATGGAGAAGACATTTCGCACTTCATTAAAAAAGTTGTTTTCGAGTTGGATCCGTCTTTCGTAAACCCCCGCAGAAGTAGGGTTTAGGGTTTAGGGTTTAGGGTTTAGGGTTTAGGGTTTGGGGTTTGGGGTTTGGGGTTCTCCCAGCGCTTGTCTGCTGCTGCTTTGCTGCTGGGCTCTGTCCCTCTGCGTCTGTCTACGCCGCTGGCGCTAAATGCTGCTTCTGCTGCTGCTGCTGCTGCTGCTATTGTTGCTACCACTGCTGCTGCTGCTGCTGCTGCTATTGCTGCTGCTACCGCTGCTTCTGCTGCTGCTGCTGCTATTGCTGCTGCTATCGCTGCTTCTGCTGCTGCTGGTACTGCTGCCGGTACTGCTGCCGTTTCCACTGCTACTGCTGCTGCCGCTGCTGCTACTCCTGCCGCTGCTGCTACTCCTGCCGCTGCTGCTACTGCTGCTGCTGCTGCTGCTGCTGCTGCTGCTGCTGCTGCTGCTGCAGCACTTACGGGGCCCCCCTACGAGGTCTCGGAAGCGGGTTGGGGGGAGTTTTACATCACCGCCAAAATCTTTCTAATAGACGAGGCCCTTCCCCCTGTGGAGCTTTGCCACTTTCTGCGGGTGAGCCTAGCAGCAGCAGCAGCAGCAGCAGCAGCAGCAGCAGCAGCAGCAGCAGAGGGTTTGCTGCAGCTTGCTGCTGCTGCGAGGCTTGTGTCTCCTGCGCTCTGCAGCTAAACCTCCCAGGCGCCTCGCAGGGCCCCTGTGTCGCCTCAGAGGTGAGCGACGCCCATTAAGCCCCTCTTGGGGGCCCCAGGGGGGCCCCCCTGTGTCCTTGGGGGCCCCAGGGGGCCCCCCCGTGTCCATGGGGGCCCCAGGGGGGCCCCCCTGTGTCCTTGGGGGCCTCAGGGGGGCCCCCCGTGTCCTTGAAGGCCCCAGGGGGGGCCCCCGTGTCGTTGGGGGCCCCAGGGGGGCCCCCCTGTTTTCTTGGGAGCCCGTGGGAGGCCCTCTCGCGTGCTGCACCAAGCAGAGGAAGGGGGCCCCCCGGGGGCCCCCCTCCTATGCTTGGGGGCCCCCGGGGGGCCCCCTCATGTGCTTGGGGGCCCCCGGGGGGCCCCCTCGTGTGCTTGGGGGCCCCCGGGGGCCCGTCCGGTGTGCCCTTTTGGGGGTCTCGAGGGGGCTCCGTTTTTTGTCTTTTTTTTCTTTTTTTTCTTTTCTGTTCTTTTTCTTTTTTGTCTTTTTTTTCTTTCTTGTTTTTTGCATCTTTGTCTTCTTCTTTTTCTTCTTTCTCCTTCCTTTTTGTCTTCTTTTTCTTTTTTCTCTTTCCTTTCTGTCTTCTTTTTCTTCTTTTTCTTTTCTTTTTGTCTTCTTTTTCTTTTTTCTCTTTTCTTTTTGTCTTCTTTTTCTTCTTTCTCTTTTCTTTTTGTCTTCTTTTTTTTCCATTTTTCTTTTCCTGTCTTCTCTTTCTTTTCCGATTTCTCTGCTTCATTTGCTTCTTTTCCTTTTTTTCTTTTTCTGCCGTTTTTTCTCTTTTTTTCCGCCACATTTTTGCGCTTTTTGTCTCTCCACTTCTGCCATTTTTCCCTCTTCTTTTCCCTTTGCATTCTCCACTTTTTGAACTTCTTTTTTTTGATTAATTGCCTCATCTCTCCCCCTTTTCATCTCTTTTTTTTGCAATTTTCCCCTTTTTTTCTCGTTTTTTCGCTCTTTTTCCGCTTTTTTCGCGCGGTTTTCGCTCATTTTCTCTTCTTTTTTTCTCCTTTTTCCGCTTTTTTATTCCTTTGTTTGTTCCTTCTTCCATTGCGTTTGCTGCGCCTCGAAAAGCGCTTCAATTTCCTTTTTTTTTTTCGGTTTTTTGCAGACTTACGACGAACTGCTCATCCACGACCCCCCCGACTGGCTCTACGACAGCCTCACTGCAGCGCCCGTGGGCGAGGCCCCCCCGCACCCCCTCAGCGCCTATTTTCTGCAGCAGCAGCAAAGCGAGCAGCAGCAGCTGCAGCTTTACTTGGGACTCCAGGCCTACATCCAGGCGAGCCTTTGCTGCTGCTGCTGCTGCTGCTGCTGCTGCTGCTGCTGCTGCTGCTGCTGCGGCCGCGGCGGTGGTGCTGGCGGTGGGGATCCCGGCGATGGTCGCTGAGCGCGTGGCGTCTCGTGACTGCTGCTGCTGCTGCTGCTGCTGCTGCTGAGGCCGCTGCTGCTGCTGCTGCTGCTGCTGCTGCTGAGGCCGCTGCTGCTGCTGCTGCTGCGGTGGTGATGGTGGTTGTGGCGGTGCTGGTGGCTGAGGCCGCAGCGTGTCGTGGCTGCTGCTGCTGCATTTGCTGCTGCTGCTGCTGCATTTGCTGCTGCTGCTGCTGCTTTGCCGCGCACATCTTTAGGGAGGGGCCCCAGCTGTCTGACGGTTTACTTGCTTGGCGTTGCGTGCTGCTGCTGCTGGGGGGTGTGCTGCTCCCTGCTGCTGCTAGTGTTGTACCGAGCCATACACCAATTGCTGCTGCTGCTGCTGCTGCTGCTGCTGCTGCTGCTGCTGCTGCTCGTGTGCTGCCTGTGGGGCCGCCAGACGGAAAGCATTGGGCTGATGCAAGATGCCTTTCTGATGACTCTTCGCATTCAAGAGCTGCAGCGGCAGCACGAGGCAATCACTATGGGCAAGGCGGCGGGGGCTGCTGCTGCTGCTGCTGCTGCAGCTCCTGCTGCTGCTGCTGCCGCAGTGCCAGCCCCTTCGCAGGCTGCGCTCACTGCCGCAGGGGCGCCTCCCCAGGGAACTGGCAACGACGAGTCAGCAGCAGCAGCAGCAGCAGCAGCTGCTGCTGCTGCTGCTGCTGCTGCCCCGGGGATTCCTGGGGCTGTCTGCCTCCCCTCCCCTGCTGACACTTTTGCTGCTGCTGGGACTCGAGCTGCTGGCAGCAACTTTGCAGCGCCCATGGGGGTCCCCTCTCCTTCCTCTTTGGCTGCCCCGGGGCCCCGGGGCCCCGGCCTTTCTGCTGCTGCTGCTGCTGCTGCTGCAGCATACTGCCCCCCGAAGTCTCCCCACCTGGCAGCAGCAGCAGCACCTCCGCATGACCCGCAGCAGCAAACTCACCAACAGGCAAAGGCTGCCCTGCAGCCGCAGCCCCACCTGGCCCAGCCAATGCAGGGCCAGCAGCAGCAGCAGATGGTCCAGCAGCAGCAGCAGTTCCTTCAGCAGCAGCAGATGCTGCAGCAGCAGCAACGCCAGATGATGCAGCAGCAGCCCCAGGCGCCTTACCTACAGAAACAGCCGCATGCACCGGCCCCAACACAGCCGCCTCCGCCGCAGCAGCAGCAGCAGCAAGTGCTGCAGCAGCAGCCAATGGGGCAAATGCCCGTGGGCCTCAATCCTATGTAGCGTCTCTCCTAGCCAGCCCCAACCAGGCCCTGGGCCCCTGCAGCTGCATGCATGCAGCAGTGCATGCATGCAGAACATGCATGCATGCAGCAGTGCATGCATGCAGAACATGCATGCATGCAGCAGTGCATGCATGCAGAACATGCATGCATGCAGCAGTGCATGCGTGCAGAACATGCATGCATGCAGAACATGCATGCATGCAGCAGTGCATGCATGCAGAACATGCATGCATGCAGCAGTGCATGCATGCAGAACATGCATGCATGCAGCAGTGCATGCATGCAGAACATGCATGCGTGCATGCGGCAGTGCATGCATGCAGAACATGCATGCGTGCATGCACTGCAGCACATACCTCTGCGGGACTGGCACTCTTTGGGGCTTTCTGGCTAATCGCTATAATGGCTAAAGTAGAATTATGCTGCAGTTTTAGTGCAGCAATTGGGGCGCAGACACAAAGGCTAGAAACAGCAGCAAAGAAGTAGGCGGCCCGTGGATTAGGATCTAAACACTTCTCTAAACCCTAAACCCTAAACCCTAAACCCTTTAGGGCTCCCCTCTCTGCAGCTGCGCTGTAGGCATCTGCTGCTGCTAGCCGTGAAGGCCCTCAGCAGCTAGCTAGCAGGCGCCCAGGAGCAGAGCAAGCCGTGCGGCTCACTCGACCTCGCCAGCTAGCTAGCTAGCTAGCTAGCTAGCGAGATATATTCCAGTTAACTAGCTAGCTAGCTAGCTAGCGAGCTAGCAAGCCAGCTAGCTGGCTAGCTGAGGCATGGCTAGCTAGCGGTTCAGGCACAGGTCTAGCTAGCGCTCTCGCCGCGCAATGTGCTGCAGCTGTCACTTCGCCGCTGCTTGGGGCCAGTGTGCTGCAGCTAGCTGCTGCTGCTGCTGCGCTAGCGGGAGAAGCAGCAGTCAGTGGGGCCCCCTCGAAGCAATTATAAACAGTGCTGAGGGGCCCTCTGCCCCCGCAGGGGGCCCCCAGGGGCCTAACTTGGGGCCCCTGGGACAGCTTGATCAACTGAGACTTGGGGCCGCTGAAACAGCTAGATATGCTGAGAGGAGGGGCCCCTGCGGCAGCTAGCTATGCTGAGACTAGGGGCCCCCGGGGAAGCTAGCTATGTTGAGAGTAGGGTCCCCTGGGACAGCTAGCTGTGGTGAGGTTGGGGGCCCCTGTGGCAGCTAGCTGTGGTGAGGCTGGGGGCCCCTGTGGCAGCTAGCTGTGTTGAGGTTGAGGGCCCCTGTGGCAGCTAGCTGTGGTGAGGCTGGGGGCCCCTGTGGCAGCTAGCTGTGGTGAGGCTGGGGGCCCCTGTGGCAGCTAGCTGTGGTGAGTCTGGGGGCCCCTGTGGCAGCTAGCTGTGTTGAGGTTGAGGGCCCCTGTGGCAGCTAGCTGTGGTGAGGCTGGGGGCCCCTGTGGCAGCTAGCTGTGGTGAGGTTGAGGGCCCCTGTGGCAGCTAGCTGTGGTGAGTTCGAGGGCCCCTGTGGCAGCTAGCTGTGGTGAGGCTGGGGGCCCCTGTGGCAGCTAGCTGTGTTGAGGCTGGCCCCCCCGCGGCCCCTTTGGCCCCCTATATGCAAGGGGCCCCCTCAGGGGCCTCTGCCAGTGCCTAAAGCTCCCTACACACCCCCAGCTTGCTGCCCAGGGGCCCCAGGACGCGCCCCTGCGGCCAGAAAGGGTATTGGGGGCCCCCTAGCTCGGCAAATATGGAACACTGGGGGGCCCCCTAGCATGGCAAGCTGGACGCAGGGGCCCCTTCGGGGCCCCAGGGCCTCTGTGTGTCTGTCTCGTGAGCTCGCGCTGGAAAAGTGAAGTAGCGGAGTCACCTGGGCGGCGGTCTTGTCAATTTTTCTTTTTTTTGGCCCCCCTGAGAGCTTTTAAGTACAATTAATAAATGAATTAATTAATTAATGCATTATTAATCGAAAAGTTCCCGGTGAGGTGCGAAAATAACCAGAAATAATACCCCAGGAGCAGCTGGGTCCACACAGGCGACAGCGTGGGGCCGCGGGGCGTCTCGAGATGGCTGTCTGCGGCTTAGGGCCTCTGGGGAAGGAACTTCACCATTTATTTTTGTTTTATTTATAAATTGTGAAGTTAATTTAAGTCCCGAATGCCTTTTGAAGTCCTTCTCGCTGGCCCGCGAGGTGTACAGACACCCCAGCCCACGCAGGTGACCCCGGCCACGGGATCCGATCCCCGGGCGCCTGTCTCGCGTCGCTGCAGCAGCAGCTGCATGCAGCAGCAGCGCTGTCTCCTTCTTAGTGCAGCAGCAGCAGCTCGCTGGAGCCTGGCACCCCACAGATTGTCCCAGTTGGTTGTCTGCTTCTGTCCCTTGTGTGTCCTTTGCTGCTGCGGCTCAGCAGCAGCAGCCCGCGAATGCTTGCTGCTGCTGCTGCTGCTGCTGCCAGCAACGTCCCTTCGAGCAGTGGAAAGCTGCTGCTGCCACCATGCCCTCTCAGGGCTCTCTTGGCTCTCGCTAGCTCCTCCCGCTAGCTGCTGCTGCTGCTGCTGCTGCTGCTGCTGCTGCTGCTGCGGTCGGACTTTCGCTGTCTGTCTCTTCTGCTGCTTCTATTCTTTAGAGTGACCTCAGGGGCCCCCAAGCCTCCAGCCTGTCTCTGTGCCTGCGAGTCTCCCCGCCCAGCAACATGGGGGCCCCCCAGGTAGCCCTTTGTCGGCTGCAGCTGCTGCTGCTGCTGCTGCTGCTGCTGCCTTTTGCTGCAGCAGCAGCCCCCGACTCCCCCGATGGGGCCCCTCACTTTAACCCCACGGCCAGTCTCCTGGCGCTGCTGCCCCAACCCACATCAGCAGCAAAACCTCCACAGGGGCCCCCTGCGGCTTCCGAGGCCCTCAGCTGGGCCCCCCTGCTTGCAGCCCTTCGCGTGGCCCAGCAGAAGCCCCACGCTACCCAGAATGGGCCCCTTGGGGCCCACGAGGGGCCCCTTGGGGCCCACGAGGGGCCCCTTGGGGCCCACGAGGGGCCCCAAGAGTTCCATGAGGGGCCCCAAGGGGCCCACGAGGGGCCCCACGGGGCCCACAGGGGGGCCCAAGAGGCTCATGAGGGGCCCCAGGGGGCCCCCGAGGAGGCCCAAGAGGCCCCCGTGGGGCCCCAAGGGCACCACGAGGGGCCCCCAGAAGCCCACAAGGGGCCTCAGGGGGCCCACCGGGGGCCCCCCGGTGCCCACGAAGGGCCTCAGGGCCCCCCGGAGGTGCGCGGCACAGCTCAGGAGGGGCCCCAAGTGAGGGTCCGGGGGCCCCCAGAGGCCCCGCGGGGCCCCCCGAAATCCCCGGAGGGGCCCCCGGGGCCCGGGGGGCCCCCGCGAGGGCCGGAGGGGCCCCCCGACTCCGCTTTCGGGGCGAATGGTCCGAGGGGGGCCGCTGCTGCTGCTGCTGCTGCTGCTGCTGCTGTAAATGACTGGAGTGCTGCAGAGTGGGTGCAGCTGCTGATGGAGGGCCAGCGGCTGCAGCTGACTGGCAAGCTGGTGGGCAAGGTCACCCCCAGCCCCCCCGTGCTGCTGCGGCCGCAGGCAGCAGCTGCTGCAAACGGGGCCCCCACGCGGCCAGCAGCAGCAGCAGCAGCAGCAGCAGCAGCAGCAGCAGCGGCGGCAGGGGAGGTGCAGCAGCCTGCACTACTCTCGGGATTCGAGGGCCCCTATGAAGGGCAGCAGCAACTACAGTGCTGTAGGAGGGGCCCCCGGGAGGCCCCCAGCAAAGTCCAGCTGGTGGTCCATGTGGAAATGCTGCAGCCGGGGGCCCCCGTCCTGTACGCCTTTCGCTGGGGCAAGCCAGGTGAGGCTCGCGCAGCAGCAGCAGCAGCAGCAGCAGCAGCAGCAGCAGCAGCAGCAGCACGGGATGGGAAAGCTTAGGGTTGTGGGGTCGCTAAGAAGCAGCCACTCAGCTCTTGCTGCTAAAGACAGACACGCAGCTGCACCGGGCTTTCGAGGGTTAGGCTGCAGCTCACTCTGTGCGTTGTGTGCTGCTGCTGCTGCTGCTGCTGCTGCTGCTGCTGCTGCTGCTGCAGCTACGTGGACGGAGTACGACTACAAGCTAGTGGTTCAGGAGGAAGGGGTCTACTCTGTGGAGCTGCGGGAGCCGCTGCTGTTCCCCGAGCACCGGCAGCCCCACTTGCTGCATGCAGAGGGCCCCAGCGTGGGGGGCCCCATGTTGCTGCGGGAGAGCCTGGGGGCCCCCGGGGCCCCCGAGGGGGGCCCCCTTGCTGCTGCTGCAGGGCCCCATGGGTTCAGGCGTCTCGAGGGGGCCCAAGGCTGCAGGGTATTTGCAGGAGGGGCCCCAGGAGGGGCCCCCAGATTTGCTGAGGAGCTGGGGGGCCCCCACAGGAGGCCTTCAGCCACCCCCCTTTATTACTTAATGCAGTTCTCGCCTCCCCGGAGGCCCCCCAGAGATAGCTTTAGGCCCATGAGCTTTATGCAGCATTCTCTTTGTCTGGTCTACTCGGGGCCCCCCATGCTGCAGCTGCTGAGCAGCAGCGGCCCCAGAGAAGAAGACCCCGAGCTGCAGCAGCTGCAGCAGCTGCAGCAGCTGCAGCAGCTGCAGCAGCTGCAGCAGCTGCAGCAGCTGCAGCAGGAGGCGGGTCTGGCTGCGGGCAGCAGTCAGGGGCCCCCAGAAGCAGCAGCAGCAGGGGCCCCCGTAAGCAGAAGGCGCAGGGGCACTGCTGCATGCACCAGGGTCTCCCAGCTGCCCTTCACTGAGGGGCCCCCAGGGGGGCCCCCCCCCCCTTCAAACCCCAGCAGCAGAAAGGCGCGCAGCTCTGTGGGGGCCCCTGGGGAAGACTGGGGGCCCCCGGGAAGCAGCAAAGGCTCTGGGGGGCCCCCCGAACTGCTTGCTGAGGCAGACTGCAGCAATCCATACTCTGAGTTTGTTTACTACAGCGACCCTCTGAGCTTCAGCAGCAAACTTCGAGACCCCTTGGAGGCCCAGCAAGTCTGCAGCAGGGCTTTCGGGGGCCCCGAAGCTTCAGAGGCCCTTAGGGCCCCACACGAGGCTGCGGGGGCCCCTCAGGGGGCGAGCTTCAGCAGCAGCAGCAGCAGCAGCAGCAGCAGCAGCAGCAGCGGCAGCTGCAGCAGCACAGTCACGCATGCGCTGGCCGGCACCCGGGGGACCTCGCGGCAGCTGCTGCGGGCCCCCTCCCTGACCCTGGGGTGGCAGCAGCTAATCTTGCACTTCAACGAAGACCAAGAGGGGCCCCCCAAAGGGCCCCCTTCTTGGGGGCCCCCCGTTGGGGGGCCCCCCCGGGCCACCCCTGATGCAGCAGCAATATGGGACTTGATGAGGACTGGGCAGAGCCCCTGCGCGCTGCTGAGCTTCAGAGGAATGGAGCCGGGGGGCCCCCCTTCGAGGGGCCCCGGCGAGCCTGCTGCTGCTGCTGCTGCTGCAGGGGGGGCCCCCGTTGCTGCAGCAAACTCCTGCGCTGCGTTTGCTGCAGCGCTGCAGGCTGGGGTCTTCACAGCTGAGGCCCTCGCGAGTCCCTACGGGGCCTCCTGGCCCCTGCCTGAGGCCCTGCTGCCTCCAGAACTCTTAAGTGCTGCAGGCTCAGTGCTGTACCGAGTCAAGCTGCTGTCCCCGGCCTCCCTGCAGCCCCTGGAGCCGCAGCAGCAGCAGGAAGCAAGCTGGCAAAGGCTGCAGCAGCAGCAGGAGCAGCAGCAGCAAGCTGCAGTGCCCATTCCGCAGGTGGAGCCACTGCAGCAGCCCCTCGGACAGCAGCAGAAGCAGCCGCAGCAGTTGCAGCAGCAGCAGCAGCAGCAGCAGCAGCAGCGCAGCAAGCTACGCCACGGGACTGGCGAGCTGTGGGTGCTGCACCAGGCCTTCGAGATTCGCGAGCCTGGCTATGGCGAATGGCGCCTGGCCATGCGAAAGCTCAAGGGGGCCCCGGGGGGCCCCCCGGGGGCCCCGGGGGGCCCCCCGGGGGCCTCGGGGGGCCCCCCAGGGGCCCTGCAAGCCTCCAGCTCTGACGTTGTGACTCTCTTTGCCTTGCAGCGGGCCTGCAAGTCTGTCTTTGCCGAGGCCTCAAGACGCTCCAGAGAGGCCCTGGCCCGGCCGCTGCTGGGGGGGGCCCCCCTGAAGGGCCCCGTGGGGGCCCCCGTGGGGGCCCCCGTGGGGGCCCCCGTGGGGGGCCCCCAAGGGGCTCTGGGGGGCCACAGTCCCACAGGGGAGCTGGCTGAGGGGGCCCCTGCTGAGGGTCTAGAAAGCGGAGAGCAGCAAGGGGCAAGCAGCAGCTTGCAAGCAGCAGACAAGGCTCATGGGGGCTATCATTTGGGGGCCCCTGGAGATGAACTTGCTGCAGCAGCAGCAGCTGTGGTTCCCAGCAGCAGCGCCCGGGCCTCTGCTGCAGCAGCAGACTCTGCTGCAGCAGCAGATGAGATGCAAGGCATCAAGGGAGACTGCATGTGGTGCAGCAGAACTATTGCAGCATTCACAAGCCTCTCAATATTCCGGCCCAATGACTTAGATGTCTTTGTTGCAGTGGGGGCCCCCCCCGGGGCCCCTGTGGCCCTGGGGGTCCATTCAGCTGCTCATACTTCATCTGCAGCAGCAGAAGCGCGGCGGCTAAGTGCTGCAGCACCTAGTGCTGCAGCAGCTAGTGATGCAGCACCTAGTGCTGCAGCAGCTAGTGCTGCAGCAGCTAGTGATGCAGCAGCTAGTGCTGCAGTAGCTAGTGCTGCAGCAGCTAGTGCTGCAGCAGCTAGTGCTGCAGCAGCTAGTGCTGCAGCAACAGAGGCAGCGGAGGAACTGGAGGCCCCCTGGAGCCCTGTGGGGCCCCCTGCGCTTACCTCGCTCTCTCTAACCCCTGCTGCAGTGTCAGGGGGTCGCCGGCTTTCTGTGGTGATTGACTTGACACCTTTTGCTGCCTCTCAGAAGCGGCAGTGCTCCCCCCTGCCAACTGCGCTGCAGCAGCAGCAGCAGCAGCAGCAGCAGCAGCAGCAGCAGCAGCAGCAGGCTGGTGCTGCCCCCACACTCCGCCACCGCCGCCTGTACTCCTACGCACTCGCCGTTCTTGTCACAAGAGATGCTGTGCTTTCGCAGGCCCCCCAGTGGTGGGCAAAGCAGCAGCAGCAGCAGCAGCAGCAGCAGCAGCAGCAGCCAGCCAGCGCTGGCCGCGGGGAGCAGCACAGCTCTGCTGCTGCTGCGCCTCAAAGGCGGGCTTTGCTGCGGCTGCCTATTGTGTGTGAAGACTCGCGCGACGGCGGCGACAGCCTCGTGGGGGGCCCCCCCGGGGGGCCCCCCGTGGGGGCCCCTGGGGGGCCCCCCGAGCAGCTGGGGGCCCCCCGGGAGGCTGCTGCAGCAGAGGTTGCTGCTGCTAAACTCGGCAGCAACCCCTGGATAGTCGAGGCCGAGATGCTCCCCCCGGACTTCAGTTTGCTGCCAACAACTTATGTGCTGCAGTGGCAGCTGCTGGAGAAGCAGGAAACTGCAGCAGGCCAAGGGCAGCAGCAGCAGCAACTGCGGGGGCCTTCAGAGGCGGACCTCAGAGTCAACCTCCACGCTTCATCTCAAGTTTCGCGACTGTGCAGCCAGGTAGGCCTTAGTGCACTGCAGCAGCAGCAGCAGCAGCAGCAGCAGCAGCAGCAGCAGCAGCAGCAGCAGAGCAGCCTTTGTCCGCCTGGTGGGCCCCTCGCAGCAGCCCGAGGCCCCCAATCCGCGTGCAGCCTGCTGACCCTGAGAGCCTAATTAAAAATATAAGAATTAGTTATGCGATTTATATTTCAACTAGAAGTTAATAACAGTCTTTTTAAATAATTTGTCATAGTGTGAATTATTTATAGCAATATTAAACTTAAATTGTTTAAATTTTTAAATGTTTTTCCGTAAATATTGTTTTATAAAATTAATATGTGGGCGCGTGCCATCTTTCAAATGTAACGGCGCCTGGGTCATTGGGGTCTGCGGAAGCCCGTTTGCTGCTGGCTGCTGCTGCACGCACTTGCTGCTGCTGCTTCTGCTGCACGCACTTGCTGCTGCTGCTGCTGCGCGCACTTGCTGCTGCTGCTGCTGCGCGCACTTGCTGCTGCTGCTGCTGCACGCACTTGCTGCTGCTGCTGCGCGCACTTGCTGCTGCTGCTGCTGCTTGGACTTGCTGCTGCTGCTGCTTGGACTTGCTGCTGCTGCTGCTTGGACTTGCTGCTGCTGCTGCTTGGACTTGCTGCTGCTGCTGCTTGCGCGTGCTGCTGCAGCGGTGCCCGGAGCAGAGTTCCTGCGCGATCACGGAGCGGCTCGACGGCTTCGCCGTGTTTGGCTGCCGCTGCGCCTACGGCTTCGGCGGCGAAGACTGCGCGGCGGAGCTGCTGGGCCGCTGGCTGCGGGGGCTGGCGCAGGCGCTGTTGGTGTTGTCGAACTTGGCGCTGCTGCCCAGCGGCTTGCTGTGTCTGCGGCTGGCGCTGCGGCACCTGGGCTTCCCGGGGGGCCCCCCTGCGTGCGCGCGCTGCTTCGCGGGGGGCCCCCCGAGCAAGCTGGGGGGCCCCCACGCCACCTGCAACACCCACGCCTGCTGCCTCCTCTACGCCGCCAGGGCACTCGCCTACTTCAGCGCCTGTGAGCTACAGTCCTTGCTCCTGCTGCTGCTGCTGCTGCTGCTGCTGCTGCTGCTGCTGCACCCGCGAGGCCCCTGAAACCCATTAGTCGAAGCCCAGCGTTCGCTCCTGGGCAGCAGGGAGCTGCGGGCGCAGCGAGGCACCAGCAGCCGCGACGTCCCTCGCAGCAGCAGCAGCAGCAGCAGCAGCGTCAGTGTAGACCGTACCAGCAGCAGCAGCAACAACAGAAGCAGCAGCAGCAGCAGCGTCAGTATAAGAAGCGGCAGCAGCAGGAGCAGCAGCAACAGGAGCAGCAGCGTCAGTGTAGGAAGTAGCAGCAGCGTCAGTGTAAGAAGTAGCAGCAGCAGCAGCTGCAGCAGCAGCAGCAGCAGCAGCAGCAGCGTAAGCAGCCGCCGAGTGTGTGGCTGCTGCTGCGGGGCTGTGTTTGCTGCAGTTCTGTGGTCTGCGCTGTACCACTCGTGCGTGGACGCGACGGCGCGGCTGCCGATTGAAGCGCCGCTGCTGCAGCGGCTGGACTTTCTGTTTTCTTACTACGTGCTGTTCGTGACTGCTGCTGCAGCAGCAGACGTGGGGTCTGTGGCAGTGGAGCTGCTGCTGCTGCTGGCCGTGCTGCTGCTGCTGGCCTTCCAGTGGCTGCCCGAGACCTTCGCACCCCTACACGCTGTTTGCTTCGTGGCTGCATGCGCTGCACTGCCAGCCCTCAGTCTGGGCCTGAAGGCCTTCGCCATTGGCTGCGCAGCGCGCGAGGCGGAGCGCCGCCGCCAGCGGCTGTTGGAGCCGCTGCAGGAGTGGCAGCCGCAAGACATCAAGTGGCTGGAGAGCCCCCGGGGGGCCCCTGGGGAGGGCCCCGGGGGGGCCCCCCTGGGGGCCCCGGGGGGCCCCCCGGGGGGCCCCCAGGGGGGCCCCCAGGGCCCCGAGGAGGTCCTCAGTGCCCACCACCACCACGGCGAGCTCCAGCTGCTCCTCAGACACAAAATGGAAGAGGCCCGCGAGCGCATTTGCCTCGAGGCCTTGGCCCAGGCCATAGCCCGCCTCGAGGCCTGCAGGAAGTGCCGCGTGGAGCTCTGCAGCTGCCCCGCGGGCTCCCGCCGCAGCTTCCTGCAGGCCCTGGCCTTTTGCTGCACAGCTGCATGCAAGGCTGTGCTTCCGGGGGCCCCCGAGGGGCCCCTGCTCGCCGCCAGCGCCCCCACGGACCTCCGGCGCGGCCTCCCGGGGGGGCCCCCCAGCTGGGCCACTTGCCTGGGAATTGCTGCCACCGAAACTGCCCCCCGCTTGGAGTTCCTCGGCCTTGGTCTTATTCTCGCGGCCGTCGGTGAGTTCTAGAGGCCTGCACTGCAGCACGAAGCGCCCGCAAGGGCAAGCAGCAGCAGCGTCCGGGGAAGCTGCTGCTGGCCCTGCTGCTGCTGCTGCTGCTGCTGCTGCTGCTGCAAGGGGCGCTTGCGCTGCAGGAGCCTCTGTTGAGTGGGTGCTGCTGCTGCAGGCGTGGGCTGCTTCGGCGTGGGCGAGGGCAGCGACCACTACTGGCTGCTGCACTCCCTGTGGCACGTCTTCATCCAGCTGGCCACTTGCTGCATCTTGCTGGCGCTGCTGCAGCACCCGCTGCTGCAGGAGCTGCGGAAGCAGCAGCAAAGCGAGCAGCAGCCCCCGCTGGGGGCGGAGTGCTGCTGCACCCCCACGCGCTCCCTCAGCGAAGCCATTGCTTCTGGGGAGGACCTGCAGGCTGCAGCACAGGCCGAGGAGGCCCTGCCGAGGCCCCTAGCTGCTGCCTTCTGGCGAGTGCTGCAGCAAAGCCAGCTGCGGCTGGTGGCTCTCCAGTTCGAGGGGCAGGGCCCCTACTTGGCTCAGTCTCAAGGGGGGCCCCCGGGGGGCCCCCCCCGGGCTTTGTACGCGGGGGGCCTCCAGTCCTTGCTGGGGGTGATGACTCCTGCGCACAACCTGGAGCAGCTGCTGCCGGTGTTCACGCGCTTGCTGCTGCTGCAGCACGGCGCGCACAAGCGGCACCGGCGGGCAGCGCAGCAGCAGCAGCAGCAGCAGCAGCAGCAGCAGCAGGCGGAAGGCGGCAGGCCGCTGCCCTCGCCCGCCTTCGCAGACGAAAGCCTCGTAAGGCTCGGCACTGCTGCAGCAGTCGCTGCAGAAACTCTTTCGCCGCAAACGACTGAGGCCAACAGCCCCACAAGCTCGGAGAGTTCTGCTGCCAGCGAACTCAGCGAAGCTGGCTGCCTCTGGTGCGCAGCAAAAGCCTCTCTGAGTGAAGAGTTGCTGCTGCAGCTCCACAGCAAACGCATGCGCTGGGCCTGCCGCTTGCTGCTGCTGCCCAGCCTCAGCTGCTGCTGGCTGCCGCGCTGGCTCTGGGACTCTGCGGACTCCCGCGGCGGCCCCGCGCAGCAGCACTTCCCCATTTCCCACTCCGGCCTTCTTTTGTGTTCTTAGCCTCTTCCCGAGGCCTCTGGCCTTCCCTCCTTGACCCTCCGGGGCCTCCGCCTCTCCCAGGGGCCCTCTTCGCGCTGCTCTTCCCCGGCTGCAGCAGCAGCTGCAGCAGCAGCTGCAGCTGCAGCTGCAGCAGCAGCAGCAGCAGCAGCTGCTGCAGCTGCAGCAGCAGCAGCTGCAGGAGCAGCTGCAGCAGCAGCTGCAGGCGCGGCGCAGCTGCGCAGCCTATTTGGCCAAGTACGTGGCAAAGGGCCCCACACCCTCATAGACCTGCTTTGCTGCTTTGCTGCTGTGCTGCAGCAGCCCCTTCAGCTGGGGCTCTTCTTTGGGCCATTTTGGCCCTTCTAGCAGCTAAATTAACAGCTGCTGCCTCCCCTCTTCTCCCCCAGCCTCTGTGCACAGCCGTGGCTGCGGCAAGCCTCTTTCCTGGGGTTTAGAAGAATAAAAAAAGATACAAGACAGAGGGCCCCTCCTTTGTTTGCCCCCTGTTGGGGGGCCAAGCAGCGGCCTCTGGGTGAGGGGGCAGGCCAAAGCTGCAGCTGCAGCAGCAGCAGCAGCAGCTGCTGCTGCTGCTGCACTTCTAGCTAGTTGTAACTTAACTCGTTGACTTGCCCTCTGGCGGGGCAGTCCTAGGAACTCGCACTTCCATAGACACTAAGCCACTCAGCTCCACTCAGCTTCAAAGGTGGGGTTGTTGTGTTGACGAGCTTCTAGACCAGCCCGCCTTGGGGCCCCACGCGGGCCCACAGGGGCCCCTGGGGGCCCCCACGGGCCCCCCAGGGGCCCCTGGGGGCCCCCACGGGCCCCCCAGGGGCCCCAGTATGGCCCAGGGGGCCCCAGTATGGCCCAGGGGGCCCCTTGGGCCATATTCCCCCTGTGGCTGGAGACAAAGACATGGGCTTTTTCCCAAAGGTCAACACCGGGGGCTATTTAGCTGCTAGTGGTGCAGCCCGGACTTAATTTGCGCACAAGACCGAGGCGGGCTTAGGCAGCAAGCAGCAAATTAACAAACTCAAAAAGCCCAGCTTTCTTCTCTACTGATTAGCTTCTGTGGGCAGCAGCAGCGCCACAAAAGGCTGCAGCAGCAGCGCAGCAATAGTGTGGGGGCACTTTGCTCAGTTTGCTGCTGAAAGAGAAGCAGAGCCAAAAGGCTGCAAATTTCTAAAGAGGTTTAGGAGCAAAGGCTCAAAATAAACTATCAGAACTGGCCTAGACTGCTTCCTCGCTGTGCACCTAGGGCAGCAGCAGCTTGCTGCTGCTGCCTGTGCAACTGGGGCAGCAGCAGCTTGCTGCTGCTGCCTGTGGAACTGGGGCAGCAGCAGCTTGCTGCTGCCTGTGGCGCCCCTTCACGGGCACTGCAGCAAGCTCTTGGGGGCCTCAGGGGCCCCCCTGCATGCCCTGGGGTCTTTCTAGAGGGCACTTCGAGCAGCAGCAGCTCCGCTGCTGCCAGCTGCTGCCTGTAGGGCTCAGAAGATGAAGAGAGCCCGCAGGGGGGCCCCCGTTGGGGGCCCCCCAGCCTGAGGGCCCCAGCTAGTCTAGAGGGGGCTGTAGAGCCTTGTGGGGGCCCGGGGCCCCTGCCGCAACTTGGGCTGAACTGTGGGGTGGCCCGGCTTTGCTGCAGCCCCGCTGCTGCACTGACAAGCCCTGCCGGGGCGAGTGAGCTGCGCTGCAGCAGCACTGGGGGCCCTCAGGCGCTGCTTCGGGCCTGTGCTGCGGGGGGCCCCGCTGCTGGGGGGGCTGAAGCTTGCTGCTGCTGCGAGGCGGGGTTTTGCTGCTGCTGCTGGCTTTGCTGCCGCTGGCTTCGCCGCTGCTGCTGCTGCCTTCGGCGCTGCTGCTGCCCGCGGGGCTGCTGCTGCCTTCGGGCTCCTCCCGCTGCAGCAAAGAGGGCCAGCAGTTCTCCTCATGTTGTAAACTGTGTCTTGAAAGACAAATGCACTGCCCCTTTCCTGGGGCCCCCAGCAGCCCACGCCGTGGCTGGCTGGCAAGCTGCTGCAGGGCAGCAGGCGGCAAGAAGAGAGCCTGGAAACTGAAGAGCGGGCCCTGCTGCTGCTGCTGCTGCTGCTGCTGCTGCTGCTGCTGCTGCTGCGGCAGCGGGGCCCCCCGTCCAGGGGGCCCTCTGGGGCCGCGCCCACTGCTGCAGCCCCCGCAGCGCTGCGGCGCCTAGGGGGGCCCCTCTTGCCGTCGGGGGCCCCCAAGTCCCCCTTGGACTTCACAGAACGAAGCCGGGCTTGCTTTGCCTGTGCCCTGGGGGGCCCCTGGCTGGGGCTGGGGGCCCCATGGGGGCACACTTCGAGGGAAACTGCGCGGCCGGACTCTTTTTGTCTTTCTTTCAAGTAACGAAACTCTTCTTCCTGTGCAGCAAAAGACAAAAACTCTGCATGCATTATGCAAAACGCATGCAAACCCTCCGGGGCCCCCCTTTAGGCCTGCTGCTGGGCAAGCCCAGAAGAGGCTCTAGGGAGTTTAAGGCTAACAAGTCCGTAATAATGCCCCACAAGACATTAAACCCTAAACCCTAAACCCTAAACCCTAAACCCGAACCCTAAAGCCTAAAGCCTAAACCCTAAACCCTAAACCCTAAACCCGAACCCTAAACCCTAAACCCTAAACCCGAACCCTAAACCCTAAACCCTTATTCGCGCAGAGGACGGTCTCAGTGCAAAGTCACTTCGAAGTTGTGAATGAATTCTTTGGCCGAATAGTCTTTTCCTTCAAAAGAAACTTTCAGTTCTCCTGAAGTGCTGAGGCGCATGGCCACTGCGAGGTGTCCGTACAGGTAGATTCCTTTGCAAATGCGGGTAAAGAGCACTTTGTTGATTCTGCAGCAGCAGCAGCAGCAGCAGCAGCAGCAGCAGCAGCAAAGCCGCAGCACAAAGCTAGCAGGGGCCCTTTGAGTCTGGGGGAAAGGCCCCCACTTCCCCCCTTAAGGCCCTCAAGAGGGCCTCATTTTGGGGCTTTTTGCATGCAGAAGCTGCAGTGCAGCAGCCCCACACGCAGATGCATGCACCCCGGAGGCCCCCAAGGGCTTCACTGTAAAAGGCCTAAGCTGAGGCAAAGTCGAGCCTACAGGGGCCCCCAAAGGCCTACGCGGGCAGGCGCTTAGCCCGGAAGCACAGCAGCAGCAGCAGCAGCAGCAGCAGCAGCAGCAGCAGCAGCAGCAGCAGCAAGAGCTGCTGGGCTTACCGAGCGTTGCTCAACGCAGCCACAGCCGTGTCCACCGCGTCGTCCTTTCTGTGCTCATAGCCCGTGGAGGGCCCCACAGTGAACCTCATGACGGGCCCGCTGGCCCCCAGGGGGGCCCCCTGATCTTCAATGGCTGCTGCAGGGGCAGGGGGGCCCCCCTGGGGCTGCTGCGGGCCCTTCTCCCCAGCGGGCTCTGGGGGCCCCAGGGGCCCCAGGGGCCCCAGCGCTGCCTCCGAGGGCCCCTGGGGGCCCCCTGTGGACTCGCTGCCCTCTGGGGCCCTGCAGAGCAAAAAGTGCAGCAGCGAGGCAGGGTGTGGGGCCCCCGAAAGCAGCAGCAGAAGCAGCTCTTGAGGTTCTCTACACTCAGCAAAGGCTGCGCAGCAAAGGGGGCCCCCTTGAGGCCTTACTTGCTGCTGCTTCCGGCCAAATCTTCAGCAGCAAAAGCCTCCTGCTGCGGCATGGGGCCCTCTGTGCTGGGGCTGGGGACGGGGGAGGGCGCGGCCTGCGAGGGGGGAGCGACACAGGACAAGACAGGCCCAAATGCAAGCTAGCCACAGCTAGCTACAGCTAGCCACGGCTAGCCACAGCTAGCTACGGCTAGTCACAGCTAGCTACAGCTAGCCACGGCTAGCCACAGCTAGCTACGGCTAGCCACAGCTAGCTACAGCTAGTTACAGTTGGATACGCCAAGCTACGTCTAGCTACAGCTAGCTACAGCTAGCTACAGCTAGCTAGTGCTAGCTACAGCTAGCTAGTGCTAGCTACAGCTAGCTACGGCTAGCTGCCTCCAAATTGCTCCCTGTGGCTGTCTCTGGGGCTGCTGCTGCTGCTGGCCTAATTGCCTGTCGCCAAGCCTCCTGAGGGGCCCCTAAAAGGCCTCGAGCTGGGGCGCAGTTTGGGTGGGGGCGAAGCCTCACGGAGTCTCTGCAGCAAACACCACAGGGGCCCCACATTCATTTGCATGCACTTGCATGCAAATGAATGTGCACTTGCATGCATTCTGGAGATTAGCTAGGCCGGCGCAGCAGCAGAGGGGCCCCCAGTCTAAAGCCCTTTCGTGCGGCTGCCTTGGGGCCCCGCAGAAACCTGCGAAGAGGGGGCCCCCCTGCAGGCCCTGCGTGCTGCTGCACTGTGCTGCAGCTTGTGCTGCTGCGCTGTGCTGCAGCGTCGTGCTGCAGCGCTGCGCTGCGGCTCTGTGCTGCTGCGTCGTGCTGCTGTGCCGTGCTGCTGCGGTTTGCTGCTGCGGTTTGCTGCTGCGGTTTGCTGCTGCGGTTTGCTGCTGCAGTTTGCTGCTGCAGTTTGCTGCTGCAGTTTGCTGCTGCAGTTTGCTGCTGCAGTTTGCTGCTGCACTCTGTAGGCTCACGCTTGGCTGTCAGAGTCAGGCTCTGTGGAAGCAGTGGGGGCCTCAGTTTGGGTGCTGCGGCTTTCAGTTTGGGCTCGAGGCTGTGCAGCAGCTTCGGGGGGAACTTTCCTTAGAAAGGCCCCCACAGAAGCCAGAGCTTGCCTGCACACTGTGACTTCGCGCTGCAGCAGCACAGCAGCAGCAGCAGCAGCAGCAGCAGCAGCAGCAGCACGAGGAGCGTCAGCAGCTACAGCAGCAGCAGGGCCCCACGAACACTCAAACTGCGTTCTGTAGCAGTGTTGCTGCTGCTCTGGAGTTTGCTGCAGCCTTAAGAACTTGCTGCTGAAGCCAGCCCCTCTGCAGCTGCCTCGCCAAGACCTAGACCCTACAGGGGGGCCCCCCAAGGGGGAACCCCCTGTAGACCCTACAGGGGGGCCCCCCAAGGGGGGCCCCCCTGTAGACCCTACAGGGGGGCCCCCCAAGGGGGGCCCCCCTGTAGGGTTTAGGTCCACAAGTGACCCTGGGCTCACCTCAAGGGCCACTGTGTGGGCCTCTTTGCTGGAGAGAAGTCTCCGCAGCTCTTTGATTTGAGTGGTTTGCTGCTCCGTCTGAGACCTCATCTGCAGAGAGCCGCAGCAGCAAAAGTTAACTGTTGCTGCAGCAGCAGCAGCAAAAGATCCCAGAAGTCGATCCCGTGCTGCTGGCCCCACAAAGCTCGCAGGGAAGTGGGAGCGACTGCTCCACGCATAATGCAGCAGCAGAAGCAGCAGCAGCAACTGCAGCAGCGCCAGCAGCAGCAGCACGATTAGCAGCGGGCGCACCTGCTGCAGGAGAAGCTTTTCTGCTGCTTCGGGCCCGTGCGCCTCTGCGAGTCTGTGGAAGTTCATGAGGGTTGAGGCCTGCAGAGCAGCAGCAGCAGCAGCAGCAGCAGCAGCAGTAGCAGCAGCAGCAGTTGCCTCCTAGAATAGGGGCGAAAGGCTAAGGCGAAGCCCTACACGGCACTCACGGGGCACCGGGCTGCAGCATCCCCTGCGGCTGCTGCTGCTGCTGCTGCTGCTGCTGCTGCTGCTGCTTTTCCTTACCTCTGCCTGCAGCTGTTCGTTTACCGCAGAGATAGAAGACAGATGGGCCCTGAGTTCCATTTCTGCAACATGTTTTCTCTTAAGGGCCTCTCTGAGGTGCTGCAGCAGCAAGAAAGCAGAAACACAAAGTCGCAGCTCCATGCACCTGCAGCAGCAGCAGCAGCAGCAGCAGCAGCAGCAGCAGCAGCAGCAGCAGCAGCAGCAGCAGCAGCAGCTCCTGCTGCGTACAGCAAAAGCCGCACTAGCACACAGAAGTATGTAAATTGGGGCCAACAACGCGAAGCCCCCTGATGGCCCAAGGGTCCCCCAAAGAGGGCCCCTGGGGCCCCTCAAAGAGGGGCCCCCGGGGGCCCCCTAAGAGGGGCCCCCCTAAAGCTGGGGGCCCCCCTGTGCCAGTGACAGACCTGTCTTTCGCTTTGCACGAGCTGCAGCTTCCGCTGCAGAGCTTCAAGTGCTTCTGCTGCTTCCTTGGCCTCTTGGGAGTTGGCCCCAAGGGTTTGCTGCTGCGCTGCTGGGGGCCCCGCAGCAGGGGGCCCCTGCTGCAGCGGGGGGGGGCCCCCCGCGCAGCTGCGGCGCAGCAGCTGCTGCCGCAGCCGCCAAAGATCTATTTCCCTGTGAAGACAGCCAACAAAGTTGTGGGTGGCCTGCAAAGGAGACACAAAAGAAAGCCCCAGCTCTTCACTTTCTGCGAAGCTTGGGGGCCCCCAGGGCTTCACTGCATGCAGTGGCAAAGTAGGTGACTAAGTGGCTGCCCTAGGCCTTGCTGCTGCTGCAGCCGCTGCCACTGCTGTTGCTGCAGCAGCAGCAGCAGCAGCAGCTGCTGCTGCTGCTGCGCTGCTGCTGCTGCTGCTGCGCTGCTGCTGCTGCTGCTGCGCTGCTGCTGCTGCTGCTGGGAGCGCACGCACCTGCTGCTCGGCCACAGCGAGGCGGGCCTGCAGCTCGTAAAGACTGGCCCTGAGGGCCCTGCGGCCTTCAGGACTTTCTTGCCAAAGTGCAGAATCTTTTTCCCCAAAAGTTTCTTTTTGGGGGCCCCCCTCGAGTGCTGAGAGTCCACACAGGACCCCCTGGGGGTCTTCAGCCCCAGCGCCCTTGGGGGGCCCCCCGGGGCCTCCGTCGTCCTCCTTGGGGGGGCCCCCGGGGGGCCCCCCGCAGTCCTTGGGGGGCCCCTCCGGCTGCTGCTGCCCCTCGTGGGCTGCAGCAGCAAGGGACTGCTGCGGCCCTAGAAGCGCGTGGGGAGGCGACTCACCGCTGCTGCTGCTGCTGCTGCTGCTGCTGCTGCTGCTGCTGCTGCTGCTGAGCAGCTGGAAGCAAGGCTCAAGGGGGATGCTGGTGGAGCTGCTGCCTCTGTTTCCTTGGCTGCTGTAGTAAACCAAGCTGCTGCAGTCAGAGGCATCAGAGGAGACGCTGAGGACTCCGTTGCTGCTTCTTCGTGCGGCACTGCTGCTGCTGCTGCTGCTGCTGCTGCTGCTGCTGCTGCTGCTGCTGCGAGGAAGGAACGGCTGTATGTCGGCGTCGCTGCATAGGGGAGGCACTGCAGCAAAGGCAGCAGCAGCAGCTGCTGCTGCAGAGCCCTGGAAGCTGCCTTTGTTGCTGCGCGGGCCTGCTGCGCCTGCGGCGGCGTCTTCAGCGGGCCCCTCTGCAGCAGCAGCAACTGCTGCTGCAGCACTAGCAGCAGCAGCTGCTGCTGCTGCTGCAGAGCCAGCAGCAGCTGGTGCTTCTCCCGGGGAGCAGCAGCTAGGCAGCGCCAAAGCCCCTGGGGTCACTTCAGGCTGCAGCACTTTGCATGCAGCATAGAGCCGGGGCCCCAGCAGCCGCTTGAGCACGCTGCTGCTGCTGTCTGCTGCTGCTGCTGCTGCTGCTGCTGCATCTCCGCGCTGCTGCTGCTGCTGCTGCTGCAGAGGGAAGACAGCCCCCTCATCAGGCAAAGCCTCAGTCAGGGGGAATGTAAGGGGCCCCCAATATGCATCTTTTAAGAGGGCCCCCGGGTCACCTGGGGGGCCCCCCGGGCTAATTGGGGGGCCCCCCGATAGTGTGGAGAGTGCTGCGTCATCACTGCTGCTGAGTTGCTGCTGCAGCAGGGTCTTCTGCTGCTGCTGCAGTGACTTCTCCCTCTCGAGCTGCTCGTGCTGCTGCTGCAGCAGCTGCCGCCTCTGCTGCATCAACTGCTGCTGCTGCAGCAGCCGTTGCTGCTGAGCAGCTATGGCTGCAGCACTGCAGGTGCACGCAGCAATGCTGCAGCAGCAGACGGGGCAACGCCGCAGCCATGTCTTTCCCCGTGCTGCAGCAGCAGCAGCAGCTGCTGCTGCTGGAGCTGCTGTCCCCGTGGCTGCTGTTGTTGCAGTTGCTGCATCAGAGACCCCGGAAGTGAGCCGGCTCTGGGACTCCAGGCCTTTTTGCTGCAGCGAGCTCGAGGGCCCCCAGCTGGCGGGGGGCCCCCTATCTGCTGCCTCTTCCATGGGTAAAAAAGGGTACTGGGGGGCCCCTGGGGCTGCAGGGTACAGGAGCTGCAGCAGGGGCCCTCGAGAGGGCCTCCTGGGCGCAGCAGCAGCGGCGGTGAGGCCACTGGTCTGCTGCTGCTGCTGCCGCTGCTGCTGCCGCGGCCTCCGCAGCTGCTGCTGCTGCTACTGCTGCTGCAGACTGAAAAATGCTCTATTATTTCGTATTTGTGAGGTGTAGCAGCAACTTCAAGCCGCAGACGGGCAGGTGCAGCAGCAGCTGCAGCAGCCGGCAGCAGCAACCAGGCGCAGCCGACTGTGGCCAGCTGGGGGCCGGAGAAAAGACAGAGAGGAAACAAAAGACAAATAAATGAATAAATTAAAATTGGGTCCAAATAGAGAAGTAACAAATTGTGAAGAGGGAGGAAAAATGAAGAAAAGGCGCTTCGGGCTCGCGCGAGACTCGGCGCCGACCACTGCTGCTGCTGCTGCTGCTGCTGCTGCTCGTGCCGCTGCTGCAGCTGCTGCTGCAGCTGCTGCTGCTGCTGCTGTTGGTGCTGCCGGTTTATTGGGATGGTAAATTCACCAGATTAAAGATAAAGACGGAAAGGGAAAACCAAACAAAGGCAGGCTGCTGCAGCAGCGGCCCTGCAGGGCCGCCAGGCCAGCGAGCGGCGTCGATTGCTTCTCTGTTCATCTTTCTTGCGCAACTTTTGTTCCATCTTCATTGAAAATCATTTTTAAATACTTTTTTTGATCTATTTTGCAGAAATTCAAACCCTTTTGTCTCACATGTACCTCCGTTCGGCCCCCTGCAGCCCCCCCCGTAGACCCTAGACCCTAAACCCTAAACCCTAAACCCTAAATCTTATTGCGGGGCCACAGCGAAAACCCCAAACCCTAAACCCTAAAAGATAGACCCTAAGAGAATCAATGCAGCAACTAAAGCCTAACCCCTAAACCCTAAACCCCAAACCCTACAGATGTGCTGCAAGCTCGGAGACGTCCCGGGGAGAACTTAAACCCTAAACCCTAAACCCTAAACCCTAAACCCCAAACCCTAAACCAAAACTAGAATAAACTTGCTGCTGCGGAGTTCCCGCCTGGCCAAACATGAGCAGCCGCAGCAGCAGCACAGCTGCTGCTGCTGCAGCCTCAGCGGCAGCTGTTGCTGCTGCCTGCGTCCTTGCAGCAAAATATTAACCAGCTGCTGCTGCTTCTGCTGCTGCTGCTTCTTCTGCTGCTGCGGGAACACTTACACGCGGCGCTCTCACTGCTTCTGCTGCTGCTGCTGCTGCTGCTGCAGCAGCAGCAGCAGCAGAAATGCTTCCTACGGTCTGACTGCCCCATAGGAGGGCGGCTTGCCTGCAGCAAAGGCTGCGCCTCTATCGATCACAGATCTGCTGCTGCTACTGCAGCAGCAGCAGCAACTGCTGCTGCTGCTGCTGCAGCAGCAACTGCTGCTGTTGCTGCAGCAGCCTTAGAAGTCTAGTCCCGCCTTCCGCGCTCCATCAGCCAGCGCAGCAATTCTCCCTGCATATCTGAAAAGCGAAAGTGCAGCAGCACAGTATTAAACAGCTGCAGCAGCAGCAGCAGCTGCTGCTGAGGCAGCAGCTGAGCAGCAGCAGCAGCAGCAGCTGCTGCTGTAGAAATGAAGCAGCACGGCGTTGAGCAGCTGCAGCAGCAGCTGCTGCTGAGGCAGCAGCGAAGCAGCAGCAGCAGGTGCTGCTGCTGCTGTTGAGGCGGCAGCAGCTGCTGCTGCAGCGGAAGCCTGTGCGCGTGGCTGCTGCAGCAGCACGGCCCCGGCTAAGCAGCAGCAGCAGCAGCAACGCATGCATGCAAGCAGCAGCAAAGGGGCCCCCACTTACTTGTATTGCTTTCTGTCGAAATAAACTTTAGAGACTCCAGCCCGAAGGCCCCTTGCTGCCACAAGGGCCCCCACAGCTGCTGCTGCTTCCAAAGTGCCCCCGTGCTGCCTCGCCACCAGTCCTGCAGCAGCAGCAGCAGCAGCAGCAGCAGCAGCAAAAGCAGCAGCGGGAGATGTGGCTGCTGCTGCGTCCAGAGGACGGCAGCAGCAAACCCCGGCACTCGTCCGCCGCTTCCCCCAGCAGCAGCAGCAGCACCAGCAACGGCGCAAGCTGCACCCTCTGCAGCAGCAGCAACAGCAGCAGCAGCAGCAGCAGCAGCAGCAGCAGCAAACTTGCCTCTTTTTCTCTTGACCTGCTTCAAAGTGCCAGCAAGCTCTTTGTCCATCGAGGAAGCAAAAGCAAATGTCTGCTGCCCCGAGGGGTCTGTAATGCATGCATAAATGTGGTTGTTGCTGAGGGTTGCTGTCAGCCGCAGCCGCCTGCTGCTGCTGCTGCTCGCAGCAGCAGCAGCAGCAGCAGCAGCAGCAGCAGGTCCCGCTGCTGCGGCAGGCGTTGCTGCTGCTGCTGCAGCCTCCGCGGCCGGAGGCTGCTGCTCTGCTGGCGTCTCGCTCATTGTCCACAGCACCCTAATGCCCCCATCTGGTGCTGCTGCAGCATCAGCAGCAGCAGCAGCAGCTGCTGCTGCTGCTGCTGATGCTGCTGCTCGCTTGTTCTCCCTGGAGAAACAGCAGCAGGGTTCAGGGGGCCCCCCACAGCGCCGCAGCAGGGGGGACCCCTCTTCCAGCAGCAGGGGGGCCCCCCTGAGGCTGTCTGTGGGGCCCCTCAGCAGGAACGCGGAAGCGCTGCTAGCAAAGTGCAGCAGCAGCAGCAGCAGCAGCAGCAGCAGCAGCAGCAGCAGCTCCGCCAGCAGCTGCCGCTGCTGCCTCATAGCGGGCCTCATGCTGCAGCTAAACCCATTCACAAGTTGCCTCTGGGGGGCCCCCCGGGGGCCCCTCTCTGCACACTGAGTGTCGGGGGCCCCCGGGGGCCCCTGGACGGGCCGAAGCAGCAGGGCCCCAGCCAGGCGAGGCCGGTCTAGAGGCCCTTATACACTAAAATATATTAATTTAAATTATTTTAAATTAATTTAAATTAATTTAAAAAGCAAAAATGCACAAAGGAAGAGAAATAGACCGAAAAATCGAGCAGCAGCGGCTGCGGGGGGGCCCCCCTGCTGCTGCACGGGGGGCCCCCAGGACCCGGGGGGCCCCCGGGGGAGTTTGCAGGAAAGAAAACCCTAATAGCTGCCTGTTATACTTATTAAAGAAAAAGAAGAATGTCTGTGCAGCCTTCTGCCCCAACAGCAGCTTCAACAGCAGCAGCAGCAGCAGCAGCAGCAGCAGCAGCAGCAGCGACAGTGACGACTTGAGTTTCAGCGGCAAAGAAGCGAGGGTAGAGGGAAGGGAGCCACTGCAGCAAACGCTGCAACAGGAGCTGCAGCAGTAACAGCAGCAGCAGCAGCATCAACACCAGCTGCATCAGCAGCTGCATCAACAGCAGCTGCAGCAGCAGCTGCAGCAACACCAGCTGCAGCAGCAGCAGCAGCAACACCAGCTGCAGCAGCAGCTGCGTGCACCGCCGCCCGCAGCAAGGGCTCTATTACGCGCTGCAGCAGAGGCAGCAGCTCTGCACCCACGAGAGAGCAGCAGCAGCAGCAGCAGCAGCAGCAGCAGCAGCAGCAGCAGCAGCATGATAAATCTGGAAGCAGGCTATCCGCAGCAGCTGCCAATAAAGGGAGACACGGAAGCAGCCGTGTCAGGGCAGCTGACTCGTTTTGGGGGAAGCCAAATGGGGGGGGGCCCCCAAGAGGGGCCCCCCGGGGGGCCCCCCGCAGCAGGGGGTTTGCTGCTGTCCCCTTTTAATGAAATCCTGCAGGGCTCAGCTCATCCTGGAGTTTGTTTTTTTCATTTATTTTTTAAATGTCTTTCGTTGCTGAGGTGAAGAAATTAAATTTGTTTTTGCTTCTCCTTAAGGCTGCTGCGGGGGCCTTTGCTGCTGCTGCTGCCCACTCGCCCCTGCTGCTGCTGCTGCTGCTGCTGCTGCTGCTGCTGCTGCAGCTACCTGTTTGGCTCGGTGCTGTTTGCGGGGAGAAAAGGAGACAGCGACTTTGTTGTCTCTTTTGTCCTCACTTTGGTGCTGCTCTCTCTGGACTTCTGGACTGTCAAAAACGTCTCCGGCAGGTCTGCTGCTGCTGCTGCTGCTGCTGCTGCTGCTGCTGCTGCTGCTGCTGCTGCTTTCGCTGGCTGCAGCAGCAGCGGCCTTCCTCCTGCTGCGGCGTTGCAACGCTGGCTTTTCTGCTGCTGCTGCTTTTGCTTGATTTTCTTGGCTGCTGCTGCTGCTGCCGCTGCTGCTTCCGCTCGCGCCCCGCCCACGGCCGATCAACAGCAGCAGCAGCAGCAGCAGCAGCAGCAGCAGCAGCAGCAGCAGCAAGAACAACGTCTGCTGCTGCTGCTTGTTTTTGTTGTGTCCCTGAAGAATGCTTGTAGGCCTCTTCTGGCAGCAACGCATAGCAGCAGACGGCAGCGCTGAGTGGATTTTCCAAAAGGCCCCCGTGAGCTGCTGCTGCTGCTGCTGATTCTATTTGCTGCTGCTGCTGCTGCTGCTGCTGCTGCTGCTACTGCTGCTGCTGCTGATCTAAAAATGCAGGACAGTGAAAAGGAGGGATGGGGTCTTGCGCGTAGGCTCACGGCTTTGTCGCTACTGCTGCTGCTGCTGCTGCTGCTGCTGCTGCTGCTGCTGCTGCAGGAGGGCCGCAAAGTGTGCGCAGTGGACTACCGCGTCTTCTGGGGAGGTCTTTTCTTTTTCGTTTTAATTTGGTTTGTTTTTTTTCTGAATTGTCTCGCGAGTTTGGATTTCCTCTGGGTGCGGCTTTCTTCTATGCAGCAGCAGCAGCAGCAGCAGCAGCAGCAGCAGCAGCAGCAGCAGCAGTAGTTTCCTCTCTGCTAGAGCCTTTCTTTCTCTCCTCTGTCTGCCTCTTTCGCTTTACCTCAGCGGCTCTTTGCTGCTGCTGCTGCTGCTGCTGCCTGCGCTGCCGTTGCTGTCTCTGCTGCTGCTTCTCTTGCTGCTGCTTGATTTGCCACTTTCCTGCTTCTGCTGCTGCTGCTGCTGCTGCTGCTGCTGCAGTCTGTGATGGCGATCGTGGGCTTGGTTCTTTCGAGCACAAATTTCGTTGCCTACTACAAATGCGCTCGCTGTGCGTCTCCGCATCTGCTGCTGCTGCACTTGCTGCTGCTGCTGCCGCTGCTGCACTTGCTGCTGCTGCTGCTGCTGCTGCTGCACGTGCTGCTATGCTGTTACGGCTGCACCGGCTTCTGCTGCGTCTGCTGCTGTTGCTGCTGCACCGGCCCTCGCTGCACCTGCTGTTGCTGCACACGCCGCTACTAAACATATATTGCTGCTTTATATGCTGCTGCTGCTGCTGCTGCCGCTGCAGCTGCTGCTGCTAGCCAGGGCTTGTAGTGTTGCTGCGCGCTTTGTGTAGCTGCTGCTTCAGAAGCTTCTAAGCTCACCGCTGCCTCTTCCCCATATGTTGCTGCTGTTGCTGCTGCTGTTAATGCTGCTGCTGCTGCTGCTGCTGCTGCTGCTGCTGCTGCTGCTGCTGCTGCTGCTGCTGCTGCAGCTCAGTCGCCAGCCGAGTCAGCGCTCTCGAGCCTGCGCGCTGCCACTTGGCGGCACGCGGTGATGTCTCGTCTGGGCTTTAGGTAGCAGCAGCAAGCAGCTGCAGCACATTCTGTTTCTTTTCAGCAGCAGCTGCACCTCAGTTTTGCTGCTGCTGCTGCTGTAAGCAGCAGCAGCAGCAGCGACAGCAGCAGCAGCAGCAGCAACGCAGTGCACGGGCATCAGCCCCGTCAACTTGCCCTTCCCAGAGAAGGCCTGCAGGATTTGCTGCAGTGCATTCGGGCCCCTCCCCAGCTAGCTAGCCACTGCTGTGGCTAGCTAGCTAGCCACTGCTGCGGGTAGCTAGCTAGCCACCGCCATGGCTAGCTAGCTAGCTAACTCGCCAGCTAGCCAACTGCGCAGCCAGGGCTCAGCTGCCCCCCAGTGGGCAGTGCAGCGAGTGGCTTGGCAGCAATTTGTTGCTGCTGCTGTTGCTGCTGCTGGCTAGCCAGCAGCAGCAACCGCAAAACACTGCAGCATTTGCTGCTTGCTGCTGCGCTGCCCTTTTGCCAGCTTTCAGCAGGTTGGGGGCGGCCGCAGCTGAAGGGCCAGCTGGCTAGCTAGCCAACTAGCTAGCTAGCTATCTCGCTAGCTAGCCAACTAGCTAGCTGTCTCGCTATCTAGCCAACTGGCTAGCTACCTCGCTAGCTAGCCGGCCACCTGGCTAGCTAGCTAGCGGCTACCTGGCTAGCTGGCTAGCCAGCCACCTGGCTAGCTAGCTAGCCAACCAGCAATTAACTGATTAAAAGGCTAGCTGGCTAATCAACTAGTGGGCAAAAGAGCGACGGGTCACCTGGCTGGCTAGCTGGCTGGCTAGCCACGTAGCGGGGCAGCTCTCTAGCTAGCTAGTCAAGTGGCGGGCTAGCTAGCTAGCTGGCTAGCCGAGTGGTAGGCTAGCCACCTAGTTAGCTAGCCATGTGGCTATTTAGCTAGCTAGCTAGCCATGTGGCTAGCTACCTAGCTAGCTAGGCATATGGCTAGCTAGCTAGCTAGCTAGCTGGGTGGCGGGCTAGCAATCTAGCTAGCGGGAGAGAGTACTATTCGGGGGGTCACCTGCTGCTAAGTGGTTATCCAGTGGGGCTGCTGCTAGCTGCTGGCACTCCTGCCAGCTTCAAAGCAGCTCCTGCAGCAGCGGCTGCTGCAGCACCTGCTGCAGCAGCTGCTGCAGCAGCTGCGGCAGCTAGCTGCAGCAGCTGCTGCAGGCTGCGTAGCTGGCGGGCAGTACAGCTGCTGCAGCGTCTCGCGGGTCTATGCTCCCTCCTTGTCGCATCTGCCTTCTCAATTTAATTTTTAAAAATTATAAATAATTCAAAATAATATTTTTGTTTATTTTATTTATTTTATTTGCTGCTGCTGCTGCTGCAGCGCGCCAGCTGCTGCGGGCCCCGCGCTGTGGGGCCCCGGCCTCAGTGGGTCTTCTTCGGCGCTGCTGCTGCAGCGGAATCTCGCGCGAACTTGCTTCTTTGCACAATAAATGAATAAAAAAAGAAATAAATATCATTTTTTAATTAAATTAATGAATTAAAAGGTAAATTTGTCCATTTTCCCCGCAAGAACGGCCCCCGGCGCTGCCCGTGGCTCCTCCTCGAAGGCCCCCCAGTAGCCCTGCGGCAGCAGCCGGGGGGCCCCCGCCCGCGCAGCAGCTTCAGCGGGCTTTAGTACCCTATGGGTTCAAAGAAGGTGTCGAGGGGGCCCCCCGGGGGCCCCCCTGGGGGCCCCCCCGGGGGCCCCGCGCCGGGTGCTGCGGGGGGGGGCCCCCCGGGGGCCCCCGAGGCCCCCGAACTGGACGAAGCTACGCTGCAGCGGCTGCAGCAGCAGCTGCTGGAAGACGAAGAGTTTGCTGCAGACATGAGGGCTTTGCTGCTGGCCAAGTTTAGGGCCAAACACCGCAAGGGGGGCCCCCAGGACTGCAGCAAGGGGGGCCCCCAGGACTGCAGCAAGGGGGGCCCCCAGGACTGCAGCGAGGAGTCTGGAGAAGAGTCTGAAGACTCTCTAAACCCTCAGCAAACCCTAAACCCTCGACAAACCCTAAACCCTCAAGACCTCCGCAGACTCCAACAACTCGGCTACCAACTCCAACCCCACGAAAGACTCATCCCCAAAAGCAAGTCCCACACTACAACAAGACCCTCGGGGGCCCCCCAGGGGCCCCACAGGGGCCCCCAAAGGGGCCCCAAAGGGGCCCCACAGGGGCCCCCAAAGGGGCCCCAAAGGGGCCCCACAGGGGCCCCACAGGGGCCCCCAAAGGGGCCCCAAAGGGGCCCCACAGGGGCCCCCAAAGGGGCCCCAAAGGGGCCCCACAGGGGCCCCATAGGGGGCCCTCAAAGGGGCCCCACAAGGGCCCCCAGACGAGGCCCACAGGGGCCCCACAAGGGTCCCACAGGGGCCCCCAAAGGGGCCCCATCAAGACCTCAAGTGGGGCCCGTGTGGGCCCCCACAGGGGCCCCTGAGGGGCCAGCAGCAGCAGCAGCAGCAGCAGCAGCAGCAGCAGCAGGGCCTCGCAAATGTCTGGAAGTTTATCTTTTTGTTTTATTTGTTTTATTTTTGTTTTATTTTTGTTTTATTTTTGTTTTATTTTTGTTTTATTTTTGTTTTATTTTTGTTTTATTTGTTAGAAAGAAAGGCCTCCAAAGTGGCGGATGGGAAGGCTCTTGAGGAGGAGGAAGAAGCAGCAAATTCGGCTGTCTCGGATGAACAGGGTGAGGCCTGGGATCGTCTGGGATCGTCTGGGATCGTGTGGGGTTATCTGGGATCGTCTGGGATCGTGTGGGGTTATCTGGGATCGTGTGGGGTTATCCGGGATCGTCTGGGATCGTCTGGGATCGTGTGGGGTTATCTGGGATCGTGTGGGATCGTCTAAGATCGTGTGGGGTTATCCGGGATCGTCTAGGATCGTTTGGGATCGTGTGGGGTTATCTGGGATCGTCTGGGATCGTGTGGGGTTATCTGGGATCGTCTGGGGTCCTTGGGATCGTGTGGGATGTGCTACTCGTGCTTCCCCTCCCGCTGCTGCTGCTGCTGCTGCTTCCCTGCTGCCGCTGCTGCTGCTTCCCTGCTGTCGCCGCTGCTGCTGCTCCTCCCACGGCTGCATCTCCCACTGCTGCTGCTGCTGCTGCTGCTGCTGCTGCTGCTGCTTGTGCAGCTTTGCTGCAGAAGCTGGAGGAGCTGAAGTACGAGCCGCCGCCGGGAATGCGGCGAGTGCCTTTTGTGGAGACTCTGGCCATTGTGGTCAGCCCTGCTGCTGCTGCTGCTGCTGCTGCTGCTGCTGCTGGGGAAGATGGGAAGGAAGCAGAAGAAACTTTGGACGATCTCAAGAGGGAGGCCCGCTTGTACGCTGCTGCTGCTGCTGCTGCTGCTGCTGCTAGTTGTCCTGCTGCTGCTGCTCTGCTGCTTTTTCTCCTCTTCGTGCTGCTTCTTGTGCGCTGCTGCTGCTGCTCCTGCTGCTGCTGCTGCTCCTCTTCCTGCTGCTGCTTCTTCTGCACTCCCCCTGCTCTTCCTCCGGTGCTTCCTCCCGCTCCTTTAGCCTTGCCTTTGCCGCTGCTGCCGCTGCTGCTGCGCGCGCACACCTGCTGCTGCTGCTGCTGCGCGCGCTCACCTGCTGCTGCTGCTGCTGCTGCTGCTGCAGCGCGAGTTTGCTGCAGGCGACTGCGCCGGTGGCGCTGGCGCGGCTGCGGGCCGTGGGGCTGCAGTTCAGCAGACCTGGAGATTATTTGGCGGAGATGTTGAAGAGTGAGCAGCAAATGGGGCGGGTGCGTGCGCAGCTGGAGGCGGAGCAGCAGCAGCAGCAGCAGCAGCAGCAGCAGCAAAACCGCAGCTTCAACCGCAAGTTCAACCGCCTCAGCGGCCACCAAGTCGTGCAGCAGCAGGAAGCTGCTCGCAGACGCAATCTGCAGCTCAAGGCCATTCAGCAGTGGCGCAGCAGCAGGCAGCAAGCCCGCAGCAGCGGGGCCCCGCAGCAGGAAGCAGAAGAGGCCTTTGACCAGTGGCTCTTGGGGCTGCAGCAGCAGCAGCAGCAGCAGCAGCAGCAGGGGGGGGCCCAGGGCCTGCTGCCCAACCACGGACGCAGCTTCAAGCAGCTGCAGCGCCCGGGGGGCCCCCAGAGGAACCCCAGCAGCAGCAGCAGCAGCAGCAGCAAAGGCAGCAGCAAAGGCAGCAGGAGAAAGGGCAAACCCACCAAGCGGGGCCCCCGCTCTGCACGGGGAGCCAAGAAGGGCCCCCGCAAGAAGAAGAGGCTTGCTTAGCTGCAGCAGCAGCAGCAGCAGCTGCAGCAGCAGCTGCAGCAGCAGCTGCAGCAGCAGCAGCAGCTATAGCAGCAGCTGCAGCAGCAGCTGCTTAGCTTACGCTGCGCTGCAGCAAGCAGCAGCGGACTCAGCAACGCAGCAAGGGGGGCCCCCAAGACAAACAAAACCCTTTTTTAGGACTTATAAACACTCCCAGCTAGCCAATAGCCAACCCCACAAATGCTGGGGGCCCCTAATAAACACAAAAAGCAAACAAGACTCCAAAGACGCCCCACAAACTGCAGCAGCAAACCCACATAACACACCTGCGGGGGGCCCTCGGGGGCCCTGGGGGGCCCCCAGAGCGACTCCTAGCCCAGGAGAGGCACAAACGGAATTAGAGAAGGAAATCAAAGCAGAAATGAAAGTGGAAATGGAAATAGAAATAAAAATGGAAATAAAAAGAGAAATAGAAATTAAAATAGAAATATAATTTAAACAGAAATAAGGAAGGAGATTTAAGCAGGAAGTTCGGGATCGCAGCACGGAAGATACTGCCCATGGGCAGCAGCCGAAGCAGCTGTCACAGGCTTTGCTGGTCGCCGCTGCAGCAGCTGCTGCAGCAGCTGCTGCAGCAGCTGCTGCAGCAACCTGCTTCTGCAGCAGCTGCTGCAGCAGCAGACAGCGGGTGGCCCGCTCTGTCTTTGCTGCTGCTGCTAGTGGCAGCCGAACGCCCTGTGGGGTGGACCTTCTGGCCTCACAGTTGCTGCTGCTGCGTAGGCAGTTGCTGCTGCCGCTGCTGCAGCGAGCTCGCTCTCCTGCCGGACCAGCAGCAGCAGCAGCAGCAGCAGCAGCAGCAGCAGCAGCAGCAACGGGTAAACAGAGTAGATTATTTCTTAGGCAGAGACACAAGATTTGTTCAGCAGCAATATGCTGCATGCAAGACGCAGCCGGGGGAGAAAAGAAAAAGAAAAAGCAGCAGCAGCTAGCTGCATCCTACAGAGCAGCAGCCCAGGGGGGCCCCTATGTGACTTCGAGGCAGCAGCAGCTGCAGCAGCAGCTGCAGCAGCAGCTGCAGCAGCAGCTGCTGCTGCAGCTGCGGGGCCTTCAGGCCGCCCGCAGCGTTTTTGCTGCTGCTCGTACAGAGACAAAGTAGAATAGAACTCTGGCCTCGCAGCTCTTTGCACATAAGCAGGGCTGTTGGCAGCAGCAGCAGCAGCAGCAGCAGCAGCAGCAGCAGCAGCAGCAGCAGCAGCAGCAGCGCATGCCTCTATCTGCTAGTGTGGGGCCATAAGCTTTTGGCAGAGAAAGTGTGGGGCCGCCATTTGCGGCCTTTCTGGAGTTCTGCAGCAAAGCGCGACTGGCAGTGACTCTGTGGGCTGTACGTACACCTGAAGGGCGTGGCAGCAGCTGTGGGGCGCCAGGCCTGAAGCTGTGGGGCCCCATTTTGTATCCTACTGCTGCTTGTGCTGCTGCCGCTGCTGCTGCTGCTGCTGCTGCAGCATTGGCGGGGGGGCTGCTGGCTGCGGGTAAGGGAGCCGGCAAAAGGGGCTGAAATTGCAGTGAAATCGGCTCAACAACTCAAAAAATGACAAATAAAAAATAAATGTTTTGTTTTTGAACATATTAGAAAGACTGTTCGAGCTAGGGAGCTGGGGTGTACGTACAGGTCCAGCGGACAGCTCGCAGCGGCCGGTGACCCCGAGGCCCCGCCTGCGCGCGGCCTGAACGCCCGCGAAGTCGTTTAGTTTCTGTTTTTAATTGTAGTATTTCATTTAAAAGAATAAAAATAAATAAAATTGAAATTAAAACGGCGAAAAAGACTGCGCGGGGCCTCACACAGAGCAGGGAACCCACCGGCTCCCCCGCCAGGGCTATTGTGGGCGCGGGCGTCACCATCCGCTGCCAGCGGCATTTTCGGGGTTTTGCCTCCTTCTCTTTCTCAATATTTTCAATTAAAAGATATTTTCAGCAAAAATAACCTAAAGGGGGGCCGAGAAGGACTAATAATGAGCCCCCAGGCCTGCGCAGGTGACCCTAGCTAGCCTTTTGCTTCGCTGCAGCCACCGGGGGCCCCCAGAAGCACTTTTTCTTGGCCGCAGCAGCTATCTCTGAGGCCCTCTGCTGCTGCTGCAGCCCCTTGTGTGTCCCGGGGGCTGTTGGGGCCCTTGCGGGGTCCCCCAGGCTGCTTCTCCCGCTGCAGCAGCAGCCCCAGGCGCTGCCAGGGCTGCTGCGCCCCAGCCAAGGCCCACACAAGCCAGGGGGGCCCCCCAGGCTCCAGGGGCCCCACAATGCCGCGGCCTTTGCCCCAGGAAGCAGAGGGAGCGGCGGAGCGTTTTGTTTCTCCTTTTGAATTGCCCCCGGGGAGCTGTTCCCCGGGGCCCCCGGGGGGCCCCCCGGGGGGCCCCCCTGGGGGGCCCCCCAGCACTCCCTGCAGGGGGGCCCCCGCGAGCCCCGCCCGATGCCCTGCTGGGGGCCCCCCGGGGGCCCCCCTCGTGCCGCAGCCCCAGAAGAGGGCCCCCCCCAGGGGGCGGCAGCAGCTGCAGCGGGGGCCTAGGGGCCCCTCAGTGCTGCAGCAGCAGAGCCCAGAGGAAGCAGCAGCAGCAGGAACTACTCAGGCCTCCGACGGTAGCCGCCTTTCCCCCGCAGCTGTGGGGCCCCTGGCCCCCGAGGCCCCACAGCAGCAGCAGCAGCAGCAGCAGCAGCAGCAGCAGCAAATCAAAGCCCCTCGCCTAAATGACCTTTTGGGCCCTTTGGCTTTTCAAGAACATGCGGAGGAAAAGACACAGCCCTCAACCCCGCCCAGCCAGCGGCTGCTGCTGCAGCAGAAGCAGCAGCAGCAGCAAGAGCCGCAGCCGCAGCAGCACCTGGGGCTGGAACGCGAGACGCCCATATCAGCAGCAGCAGCAGCAGCAGCAGCAGCAGCTGCTGCTGCTGCTGAGGGCTGCTGCTCTCCGTCGAAGCCCCGCAGCATATCGCAGCCGCGAAGTCTGCGGGATCTGCTGCCTCGGCTGGCGCCGTCTCGTGAGTTGCTGCAGCAGCTAGTGTGGCAACTCATCTGCTGCTGCTGCTGCTGCTGCTGCTGCTGCTGCTGCTGCTACTGCTGCTGCTGCTGCTGCTGCTGCTGTGTCGCAGGCCGCCTCGCCTCAGTACCCTTCTCCGCCAGCTGCAGGGGCCCCTCTTCCCCTGGGGGCCCCCGGGGCCCCGGGGGCCCCGGGGGCCCCGGGGGGGGGGGCGAGGGGCCCGCAGCAGCAGCAAAGCAGCAAGAAGAGTTGCTGCTGGGGCCTGGGGGGCCCCCCCTTTGCCGGAAAGTCTCGGGTCTCCGGGGGCCCCCTCACGAAGGGGGCCCCTCGGGGGGCCCCCAGGACCCCAGAGGGGGGGGCCCCCAGGGCCCCCCAGGGGCCCCAGGGGTAAGTGCAGCAGCAGCAAAAGCCCCTCTGTGACCCTCTGCATGCGCAGCTAGCCCGAGGGGCCCCGGGGCCCCCGCTTGGGGGAGCAGCAGCGCCTCGGGGGGCCCCACAGAGTGCAGCAGGAGCTGCTGCTGCTGCTGCTGCTGCTGCTGCTGCTGCTGCTGTGCTGCAGGGTAAACCCTCCTCTGGAGTGCTGCTGTGGCTGCTGGCCGTGGGGGGGGCCCTCAGCATCACTCTGGGCTGTGTTGCTGCAGTGGGCACTTTGATGACAGCAGCAAAACGTGAGCCCTCTTTGGGCGGTTAGGTCTTCGTGGGGACTAGGGTTTAGGGTTTAGGGTTTAGGGTTTAGGGTTTGGGGTTTAGGGTTTGGGGTTTAGGGTTTGGGGTTTAGGGTTTTGGGTTTGGGGTTTAGGGTTTGGGGTTTAGGGTTCGGGGTTTAGTGCTTGGGGCCCAGGGGCTCTAGGGCGGAGGGTTTGCAAAACCCTAAACCCTAAACCCTAAACCCTAAACCCTAAACCCTTGCTGTGGCTCTCTCCCGCGCTGCTTCTTCTTACCGATTCCCAAGGCCCTCTCTTTCCTCTTTGCTGCAAATGGTTTTACTGTTTTTATTTCTTTTTCTTTAGACTCTTTCTTTGTTGCTTTTCTGTCTCCTTTTCCGCTAATTTAATTTTATTTCTTTTTTGTCTTTTTCTTTTTCGGGGCTTTTTGCTGCTCCCTCCGGTGTCTGTACACTCGAAGTGCATGCGCAGCAGCAGGGGCCCCTCAGCTGCTGCTGCCCCTTTGCTGCGGTTTGCTGCTGCTGCTGCTGCTGCTGCTGCGCAGTCTCGGAGGCCCCCCTGGTGTTTCTGGAGAGAAGGGGGGCCCCCTGGGAGCGAGGGGGCCCCCCCGGGGGCCCCCCGGGGAGGCCCCCCAGGAGGCCCCCGGGGGCCCCTCCCGAGGGGCCCCCCGGGGGGCCCCCCGGGGGGCCCCCTGGGGGGCCCCCAGAGGGGCTGCTCCAGGGGGCCTCGGCGCTGGGGTGGGGGGCTAAAGACGGGAGTCTTCTGGGGCCCCTGAGGGAGGACCCCGGGGGCCCCGGGGCTGCTGCTGCTGCTGCTGCTGCTGCTGCTGCTGCTGCTGCTGCGGCCAGCTGGGACAGCTCCAAAGTGTTTCTTGTCTCTGCTTTTGCTGCAAGGCCAGCAGACATTTCTGAGCTCAGGGCCCTCCCGCTGCAGCAGCTGGCGCTGCTGGGGGCCCTCGTTTTGCAGGTGAGGCCCCAGTGGTCCATTGCTGCTGCAGCGTGGTGACCAGTGGTCCATTGCTGCTGCAGCGTGGTGACCAGTGGTCCACTGCTGCTGCAGGCCCCGCAGCAAGAGGCTTGGGGCCAGAGGTGACGCGGCCTGCTGCTGCAGCGCTGCGCTGCTGCCGCTGCTGCCGCTGCCGCTGCTGCTGCTGCTGCTGCTGCTGCAGCTGCGGCTGCGTCTTGCTGCTGCGCTGCGCTGCTGCTGCAGCTGCCTCCCGGGGAAGAACACCTCTTTAGAGTCGAAGACGCAGCGCGCAGTTTGACTTCGAGGGAGACGCTGCTGTCTCTCAGCAGAGGCCACACCCTTGTCCTCAAACAAGGTCTGCAGCACAGCAGCCCACGCTGCTGCTGCTGCTGCTGCTGCTGCTGCTGCTGCTGCTGCTGCTGCTGCTGCTGCTGGTGCTGTTGCTGCTGTTGCTGCGGTTGCTAGCGTTGCTGCTGGCGCTGCTGCTGCCGATTGTGCTGTTGCTGTTGCTGTTGGCGTCACCACTGCTGCTGCTGCTGTTGTTGATGCTGCTGTTGCTGCTGCTGCTGCTGCTGCTGCTGCTGCTGCTTTAGCTGCAGGGGTTTGGCGTTGCTGTTTGCTGCAGACACTGGCTTCCTGCTGTCTCCCGAAGGCTCCATTTTGGGGGCTTGGGAGTTGCCCGATCCCCACAAGGGGGGGACTTCTGCTGCTCTTTCGCTGCAGCAGCTGCAGCGCAAGTTTGAACTCGAAGCAGCAGCAGCTGCTGCTGCTGCGGCTTCTGCTGCTGCTGCGCCTGCTGCTGCTGCTGCGGGGGCCCCCCCCGGCTCCGCGCTGCCCCCGGCAGAAGAGGCAGCGGAAATGGGGGGCCAGGAGGCCCCAGCTAACCCAACAAGGGGGCCCCCAGTACCCACGGGGCCCCCAGTACCCAGGGGGCCCCCCTCCACTGCCCTCGATTATGCCCTTTTAGATGCAGGAGAGCCTCTTCTTAGTGGCTTTCCAGAGGCCCCTTTGGGGCCCCAGCGGCAGCTGGGAAGGGCCCCCAAGTACCCTTTCCAGGGTCTCCCAGGGGGCCCCCCGGGGGGCCCCTCTAGCCCTCAGTACCCTCTAGAACGCTTTGCAGGGGGCCCCCCTGGGGCAGGGGGCCCCCCTGGGGCCCCTTCTACCCTTCAGTACCCCCTACAAGGCTTTGCTGGGGGCCCCGCAGGGGCCCCCAGAGCTCCTCAGTACCCACTAGAGGGCCTCCCAGGGGGGCCCCCCAGGGCCCCCGGGGGCACTGCAGGAGGGGCCCCAGGGGCCCCCTCAGGGCTGAAAGTGGGGCCCTCAGAGCAGCAGCGCAGCAGCAAACTCCTGCTGTAGAATGAACAGCGAGTGCAGCGTGAGGGGCCCCTAGGGGGCCCCCAATGAGGCCCTGGGGGCCCCCCTGGGGGGCCCCTCGGGAGCCCCTAGGGGGCCCCCAAGAGGGGCCTTTGGGGCCCCAGTATAAGCCGAGAGGGCCCAAGGCAGCCTCGGGCCTGGGGCGCAGAGGCCAGGCGTTGTCCCGAGCCCCCAGCCCTAAACCCTAAACCCTAAACCCTAAACCCTTCTCGCCTTTAAGCCGTGAGTAGACCCTTATCACCCCTCAGTCGCAAACCCTAAACCCTAACTAGACAAAAGGCAAACCCTCACTAGGGCCCCAGAAACCTCTTTATTTCATTTTAGTCTAGTACCCAAAAGGGCCCCCAAACCCCGCTAAGCCAAGGGGGCCCCTGCCTCCAGGGGGCCCTCCAAAGGCAACAGGTTGTGCAGCAAATTAGCAGCTGGGGGCCCCCTTTTAAGAAAGGGTTTACTTGCTTTTTTTATTTTAATGAATTCCAAAAGGGGGCCCCCAGGACCCTCCCTGGGGGCCCCTGGGCCCCTCTGGCTTTGCTGCGTCTGCTGCTGGTCTGGGGTGTACGTACACCGCAGCTGGGCTAGTGTGGGGTCTTCCTAAACCCTCAGTAAACCCTAATTCCTGCGGGCCCCCAAACCCTAGATAAACCCTAAACCCTAGGCAAACCCTAAGTCCTGTACAGCCTGAACTCCCTATAACCGTAAACCCTAAATAAGCCCGAAACCCTAAAGAGCCCCCCAATAAACCCTAATGCTGCAGTAAATGCTAAATTTGCAGTAAACCCTAAACCCTAAGTAAGTCCCAAAACCCAATAAAAGCCAAACCTCAGCAAAGCGTAAACCCTAAACCCTAGATAAGCCCTTGTGCCCAGGCCTTCAGCCGCAAACCCTAAACCCTAAAAAGTAACAAAGCAAAACCCTTAAAGGTAATTAAAAGAAAAAGCTAAGAGGCGCTGTTGCGGGAGAAGGCCAGAGACGCGGTGGCGGGCGCCTCTTTGGGGCTTTTGGAGGAAACGCATGCAATTTAGAAGTCCATTTGAGACAAAAACTTCGAAAAAGTAATTAAATTGCATTAAAAGCTGCAGCAAAAGAAGAAACAAAAGAAAAAAAGAACTAATTGCTGCGGCGGGCTGCGGTCGCGGAGCTGGCGCTGCGGTGTACGTACAGCCCGTGCTCAGCGCAGCTCCTCCTAACTCCCGGACGCCATTTATTTGTTTTTTAATTCTTTTTTCTGCTTTTTCTTTCGCAAAAGGACTCAAACTTGCATTAGGGGCCCCCCTAGCCGGCCATGCCGCTCGCAGGGCGGGTCCTGTTCTTCTGTTCCTTCGGGGCGCCTTCAGGTGTACGTACACCCCACTCCCCCAGCAAATGACCCCCAAACCCTTCTGGGGCCCCTCCGGCTGCTGCAGGGGCCCCCCGAAGGCCATTTTGCCTTTGCTGCTGGCCCTCAGCCTTGCCCAGGGGCCCCCCGAGCTGCTGCTGTACAGCAAAGCCAGCAGCTGGGGCGCTGCAGCGCAGCAGGAGCGCCCTGCGCCCATTCCAGGGGCCCCAGGGGCCCCCCAGGGGCCCCCGGGGCCCCTGAAGACCCAGTCTTCTGCACACCAGCAGCCTCCAGCCCCCCTGGGCCTCGGGGGCCCCGGGGGGCCCCCAGGGGCCCCCACTGAGGGTTTAAATGCCCCTGCTGGCTCATCTGAGGAGCTGAGGGCCCTCTCAGGGGCCCCGGGGCCCTCTGTGGGGCCTTACGGGGGAAGTGGGGCCCCCGGGGGGGCCCCCCCTCGGCCTGTGGGGCCCCTGACAGGAGAATTTGGTGCTGCTGCTGCTGCTGCTGCTTCAAGGCTGCCTCCTGGAGAGGGGGGCCCCCTTGCTGCTTTTAGAGGGGCCCCCCTGCTGCAGCAGCAAAGCGCAGCAGCAAAATGGCCTGCAGGCAGCGCAGCGGGGGCCCCCCTAGAGGGGGGGGCCCCCCTAGAGGCTGGGGGCCCCTCGCAGCCCTTAAGTGAGGGCCAGTTGGTGGGCGCTGGGCAGGGAGAGCAGCAGCAGCAGCAGCAGCAGCAGCAGCAGCAGCAGCAGCAGTTGCTGCAGCAGAATGCACTGCGGCTGCCGCCGCAGCAACGGCCGCAACAGCAGGCCCAGCAGCTGCTGCAGCCACAGCAGCAGCAGCAGCCGCAGCAACAGCTGCTGCAGCCTTCAAGCCCACAGCAGCCTCCGGAAGAAGGCCTTGCAGCAGCAGCAGCAGCAGCAGCTGCAGCAGCAGCAGCAGCAGCAGCAGCTCCACAGAATGGACCCTCTTGGGCTCCGCTCACAGCCAAGCCAGCAAACCCACAAAGCCTTGCGGGGGCCCCCGCAGCAGGGGCCCCCGGGGGGCCCCCTTCTTTGGAGGGGCCTCAGGGGGCCCCTGTGGGGCCCCCTGGGGCCCCTCCAATGGCTTTTCCGGCTTCTCCAGGGGCCCCCTTGAGGGGCCCCCCAGGGGCCCCTCAAGACCGCCTGCCAGGAGCTGTTCTGGGGGCTGAAAAAGAGGCCCCAGAAACCCCCTCAGGGGCCCCCACGGGGGCCCCCACAGGGGCCCCCACAGGGGCCCCCACCGGGGCTCCGGCAGGGGGCCCCAGGGGGGCCCCTACGGGGGCCCCCTCAGAGGTCACCACAGGGGCCCCTGCAGGGGGCCCCACGGGGGCCCCTGCGGAGGTCTTGGGGGCCCCTGAAGCGGCTTCACCGGGGGCCCCCCCAAGTACCCTCGCAGCTGACTCCATGGGGGCCCCTTCAGGGGCCCCTGGCAGCAGCAGCTCAGCTGCTTCTCCAGAAGCCCCAAAAGCCCCAGAGGGGGCCCCCACTAATGCCGCAGCAGCAGGACCTGGGGGGGCCCCTGAAGGGGCCCCCAAAGAGGCCCCTAAAGAGGCCCCCGGAGGGGCCCCCAAGGAGGCCCCCTCAGGGGCCCCTGAGGGGGCCCCCTCAGGGGTCCCTAGGGTGGCCCCCTCAGGGGCCCCTGAGGGGGCCCCTGGGGGGGCCCCTGAGGGGGCCCCTGGGGGGGCCCCTGAGGGGGCCCCTGGGGGGGCCCCTGGGGGGGCCCCCGGGGGGGCCCCCAGGGGGGCCCCCCGTTCGTTTTGGGAAGCAGTAGTGGGGGCCCTGGGTTGTGAGGGAGTTTTGCCAGCTTCCTTGGGGGCCCTCTTGGGGAGTTTGCTGCTGCTGCTGCTGACGGGGGCCCTCGCAGCAACGGGGGGTACTGGGGGCGGGGCAGTCTTTTTGGCTGTTCTTTTGGGGGCCCTCAAGCTGCGGGTCCGAGACGCAATTCCCTTGAGCAAGGTGCTGCTGCTGCTGCTGCTGCTGCTGCTGCTGCTGCTGCTGCTGCTGCTGCTGCTGCTGC